GCTATTGACCTCGGGCTTCGGAGAAGTCTTATACCATGGCTTACAGACTTCCTCAGTGACCAACGCCAAGCTGTACGCTTCCGAGGGGCTGTCTCCACCTTTCAGTCACTCACCTGTGGCGTCACCCAAGGCACCAAGATGGGACCACTCTGCTTCCTTATGCTCATCAATGATGCCCTAAGAGAAACCCCTGCTCGCTGGAAATATGTCGACGACTCTACCATTGGGATCAGCGTCAACAATTCTGCTCCCAATTATACCGCCCTTCAGGATTTATTGAACAGTTTCCAAAACTGGGCCACCAACAACCATGTCACCATCAACCATACCAAGACCATGGTTATGCACATCAACCTCTCCTCCGACATTGTCCCACCTCCTTCCATTACTCTAGGTCCGAACACACTCCAGGTTGTAGATTCCACGAAGCTCCTAGGCGTCACCATAGACAACAAACTAAATTGGAAACCACACGTCAGGGAAGTTGTCAAATCATCCAGTTTCCGTCTCCACCTCCTCCGCCGACTCGTCCCTCGGAGTTCCTGCACCCGAGCTCCTCAGTGTTTACACAACATTCATACTTCCCAAGCTCACCTATGCCTCCCCTGTATGATATGGACACGAAGTAGTACCTTAAGCTGTGTATTATTATATTACTCTTATATTACTCCATTAATTATGTATAGTAAAGTATTACAGAACATGTATTAATTCTATGTAATATTCCCATTTATTGTGCACCATATTATGTATATAAATTATCATATTTATACTTTATGTATTCAGCTTGTGAATGCTGGCATCTGTACATCCCAGCGCGCAGTAATACATAGATAGATAGAGAGTGAAGACAGAGTCTTTGTGGTGTGGACGCGAGCTTCTGGGTCCCTCTGTATATATCTCCCGTACGAGAATAGAACCTACTTTTAAGATAACAAGTGTTTGTGTATACCCTCAGTAGTATAGAACATTTTGTGGGTATTCAAGACAAATGTCAGATCCCCCACCTGGTCTTCCTCCTTAAATGCCACACAATGTAAACACCTAGAAAAAGTGCAAAAGAGGGCATGCAAGATTATTCTCTCCCCTTCCTACTCCACATATCAAGAAGCGCTCAACACACTGACCCTTTCGACTCTCACTGACCATCACCACGACCTCATCTGCAAATTTGGTAAGAAGCTTCTGCACCATCCTCGACACCGGCTCCTACTACCACCTGTTCGACACCACAACAGCATCCAGCCCATACGTGCACGAACTGATCGCTATAAGAACAGCCCAGTCCCAACCATTGTAAAAATTATCAATAACTTGTAATAAACCAGTGTATTCATTCCCAGTAAACACTACTCCTTGCACTGTCACGATGTTGAAATGAACTGTAGTTTGAGCTTTTCCCCATCTAGTTATTATATATCTTATTTGTATCACTTATGTTACTTGTATATTATTTGCAATTCGAAACCCATTCCCCAAATATGTAACTGTATATTTTCAGCCTTCTGGCTGCCAAGCTCTTTCAATAAACCGTTAATTATTATTATTATTATTATTATTATTAAGGTCAAGGACAAGTTGGGCCTTTAAAGTCAGAGAGAGGGGAAGTGATCGATGACAGTGAGGAAATAAGCAAAGCATGAAACAGCTACTACTTATCAGTTTTCACAGAAGAAATTCAGGAGGAAATTCCAGAGGTGGAACTGATATTTAGGGGAAATGAAGATAAACTATGGAATATCACTATCAGAAAAGAGGATGTTCTTAAGAAGATAAATAAATTAAAGATGATAAAATCACCAGGGCAGGATGAAATTTTCCCTTGAGTTTAGGAAGAGTGTAAAAGAACAGATTAGAGGACCCCTCGTAAATTTATTTATAAAATCATTAGACATGGGAGTTGTGCGAGACTTGTGGAAACAGGAAATGTAGTACCCATATTCAAAAAGGGAGACAGAGCATCGGCGTTAAATTACCGGCCGATTAGTTTGACGTCAGTAGTGGGGAAATTTCTTGAATCATTTATAGCAAATAGCATCCGATCGCATTTAGAGAAAAACAAATTAATCTACGACTCTCAACATGGGTTTACGAAGGGAAAATCTTGTCTAACAAATCTGCTGACGTCTTTTTAGGAAAGTCTTCGAGGTAGTAGATAATGACGAAAATTACGATATTATTTACTTAGACTTTAGCAAAGCATTTGACAGAGTACCACATCAGAGGCTTCTGAGAAAAGTTAAGGCTCATGGTATCGAGGGGAAAGTCTTAAATAGGATAAAATCATGGCTCACCGAAAGAACACAGAGGGTCAGCATAGATGGTGTTAAATCTGAGTGGGGCTGTGTAACCAGTGGGGCTCCCCAGGGGTCAGTACTGGGCCCACTCTTGTTCATAATCTACAGAGACTATCTAGATACTGGGATCAGCAGTGACATAAGCAAGTTTGCGGATGACACCAAAATAGGGCGGCAGATTAATTCAGGGCAGGATGCAAATGCACTATAGGAGGATTTAAATAAACTGCAGGAGTGGTCAGTAAAATGACAAATGAAATTCAACACCAGCAAATGCAGCGTACTTATTATTGGAAGAACAAATACTGTCAATGTATACAGCCTTAACAACATCAACCTAGAGAAGTCGACTTGTGAAAGAGACTTAGGGGTACTTGTAAGCCCGGACCTACGGCCTAGAAAACAGTGTGTTAATGTTCGAAAAAAGGCAAACAGAGTATTAGGTTTTATATCTAGAAGTTTAAGTAATAAGAGTGCAGAGGTCTTATTGCAAATATATCTTGCGCTAGTCAGGCCGCACCCAGATTATGCTGTTCAGTTCTGGTGCCCTTATTATAGAATGGATATCAATTCACTGGAGTCGGTGCAGCGAAGAATGATTCCGGGACTTAGAAACCTTCCATATCAAGATAGGTTACAGAAACTAAACTTACATTCCCTAGAAAGACGAAGAGTGCGGGGAGATATGATAGAAGTATTTAAGTGGGTGAAAGGAATCAATAAAGGCGATATAGATAAAGTTCTTACAATGTCCGAGCAGGATAGGACTCGTAGCAACGGATTTAAGTTGGATAAGTTTTGGTCTAGGAGGGAGATAGGAAGGAACTGGTTCACAAATAGGGTGGTGGACGAATGGAACAAGCTTAGTAACTTTGTAGTAAGTGCTGGAACGCGGGAAAGTCTTAAAAGGAGCCTAGATGGATTCATGGGTGATAGAGAGTGGTAGTAACTCTCGACAGGAGCTGCCATGCACAAGTCAACCGGCCTATTGCAGACTCCTTATTTTCTTATGTTCTTATGTACCTGACGTAGGGGTGTGGGTGGATCACTGCCTTCTGCACGAACCACTGCCTCGGGCCATGTCTCGTTTCATGAATGAGTAATACGAGGTGAATACAACACCATAATTATGTTACATTTGGGCATTATATCTTAAGATCCTAATATCATCACTAAATTAAGCTTATTCATCGCACTTTAATTCCAAATTAAACTTATTCTGCAAAAAGAAAAAGGAAAAAACAGTTCTTTCATATATTTATTCGGCTATGGTTTGAGTGGGTGTATCGAGGAGAGGCCTCTTCTTGTCGTTAGGGAGGGCAGAAATGTCCATAGGGCAATATAAGTTCAGTCACATTATAAACCTGCGTGGTCGTATGCAGACAAATATGTCGGGAAATAACTAAATATTTGTTCGATATTTATTGCAGAATGAACAAACCTAGAGGAAGATCCAACAGAGACCACATGGGGCTAAAGGAGGTGTTGATAGACCCGAAATTATCAGAAACGTAAAGTTAACATAATTATGGTATTGTATTTACCTTGTTTAGTTGTTCTTGAAACGAGACATGACGCGAGGCAGTGGTTCATGTAGAAGGCAGTGACCCACCCCTCCCCCCCCCCCTACTCCTTAGGTCAGGTACACTTGCCAGAACTGAACTGTTACCAATCACAGGCGGCCTGTTTCTTTCATGAATGACTACTGGGGTACCTAGTTACAGTAGTAGGCTCACGTTCCTTATAATATTAAAACTGCACTATTACCCAGGCAGCATAATATATAAAATGACGGAGTTTAGCTTAATATTTACCTTTTCATAAGACATCGTCACCAAATTTTATATTTGATGACGGAATAAAACTCTCAGTAACTACTTGTTATAGGTTGACAAACTACCCTGGCGGTGGTTGACCAACTCTCTAACATCACATGTAACTTAATATGAAAATAAACACACTATCAATTTACTGACCACAGAGGACAGTAGCTACACAACCTTTTGGCTAAATTATTTAGTATGAAAATAAAAATACTAACACTTTACTCACCACCCAGGAGCCAGTAGCGACACAACCCTCCCCTCACAGCGTCACTCAGGCAAATGGTTGATCACCGCATAAAATAATTCAGGGAAAATTATCTCATACAAACTTTTATAAATCCATCTCTTGAATAAGTTAAGGGAAAATTCACCATAAATAACCTTTCCGAATCTAAGCCGTTAAAGAATCTCTTGAGAATATTTAACACTTCAGTTGTCGGTGTATTGTTGACACCGTCTTGAAGTGGAGCGCTACACACAGTCTTCTAATTGACTGCTCACATAAGGTTGGTGCGTCCAACCAGGCTCAGAAAACTAACATGTTGCCTGACCCTTCTCCCTCCTTACATTCTCACGATAGTTAATTCTAGAGTAGATCTTTTGGGCCCATTAAATACAATTATCTGGAGCTATTAATCCTGAGAATTTACACCTGTGACTTAGTTGAAAATTATCCTCATTAACCCCTTCGCTCCCTGGGGCTATCACCTTGAACCCTGTAATAAGTACTATAATTTACCTGTACTTGGCTTATATATTATACTAACTTGTTATGCTTACTGCTGTACTCTCCCTCTTTTATTTCTTAGTGAATATTTACAACATATATGTACATTATTTACAATACTCATGATTATAATGGGATAAAACGCTGATATATTGGACTTTGTTTATAATAATGTTTACACATAGTAAGTTAGGTGGTGCTTATACTAACACAAACTTGAATCATTGTTTGTGATACTAAGGTGACATTAGCGTTTTTTAACACTCTCTCTCTCTCTCTCTCTCTCTCTCTCTTCAATAGACAGCAACAACTAACATCTACACTGCAAAGGACAGAAACAGCTAAAAATCAACAAGAACAAATTAGTAATAAACATCAGTGTTGGTAGCCAATAAATCAGCACTTGAACAGGGTATCAACAGGGCAGACTACAAGAGTGAGAGCTTGTGTTTGTAAATCCAGCATTTCATATACTAGAGAGTACTGCCATGCCTCAAGAATAGACATCAGGACGGGGGGCATGAGTCAGGAAGGTGTCAACATCAAATGAATCTGATATTGGCATCAGTGAGGCATCTAATGAACAAAGGAGTTAGTCGGGCTTGTGGTCAACACCGAGCACACACTGTCATCATAATAGAGGAAATGAGAGTAACACATTCAAGAAACTTAAAGGCTTATTATGCATGGGTCTTTGCCAGGGACGAGTCACTTAAGACCTGCAGTTCCTCTCCCAGGCGTCCATCCGTGGCATCTAGAATACATCATCTCCACCAGGAAAAGGAGAGCTGAGAGCGCCAAGCCTCCCAACAGAAGTAACAGTGTTCCCGCTACGTCCAGGAAGTTAAGAGCTCTAACGGGTCTCTTGGCTGCAGCACCGACACAACGACTCGCACCAGGCCAAAACCTCTTCTTCCAGGCGTCCATCAACCCCGTCTGGATGAACTGGAGGATCCTGGAAGCCAAACCATACTAATGTCACCATCACTACCAGTACTCCCACTATTACTACCACTATTGTCAGCATTACCACTACTACCACTATTACTTTTGCCATTATCACTACTACTACTACCATTACTGCTTTTATCACTACCATTTCACACCACTACCTCTGTCACTTACTCGTAACTGAAGGCTTCTCTATAGGGTGACTTTCGCTGCAAAATCATCCCGAATCGCGTAAAGAAGAAATGGTCACCGACTAAACTCATCCGACAGTCACCATGCACAGCCAGGTCGTCTGCGATGGCATACTCCAGCAGCGACGCGTCCTACAGTAGTGATACAGCGGGTACAGTAATACAGGGATACATACACTGTTACTATATGGTGAAATCAAATCAACATTACAGGAATACAGTGCTAAAAGGATTACATATTTTAGTACGAGTGTTCCTCTATTATTAGGCAATATTACGCCGAAAATAAATAGCAAGTTTGCGAATATATTGCTACAGTTTATAACCATGTGGTATAGTACAGTATTGACAAATATATATGATAATAATAGTTCGTATATATGATAATATTATTAAATATAGCATAATAGAGCATTTAGTCGGTTATTTGTAGACTAGAACTATATGACTAATTAATATACCCAAAAAAATGTATTTGTACTTACCTCAATATATGCAAATTCCTTTTCCAGAACGGCTTCAACTCCTCCCTTAAAACTTTTCACTAAGAGACCTTCTCTCTCACGGTGTAGCTGACCTACCTTACCGAACATACTACCGGCCTCCGAATACTGTAAGAACAAAGTTGTTATTGGCTATCTTACGAACTGCAAAGATATTGACAAGCAAATTTACCGTAGATGTTTAGAGCACACACATATACATAAACACACAAACAAATATACGTTAACACATACTTACACAATAACACATACTGCACACAACCACACATAAACATATACACACAAAGACATACATACACAGAAACACACATACGAGTATATGCATAAACAAACACATACACACACATACATACATAATATACAGACAGACAGACAAAGAGACACAAAGAGAGAGAGGCACCTTAAACAGCTCCTCCATGGCACTGTTTGCTTGGTAGGTCCAGACTATAGGTTGAGTTTCCACCATCTGTAGCAACGAGGTAACAGGTGGCGTCGTAAATCTGACAGTAATGGAAGCTATCAATTTACTGGAGTAGGAAGCGATGGTTATGACACAGAAGACCCACCACCATCCTGATAACACCTTCACAGTCTCACTTCTGGGTTGTCTGATACCTGTTGATGGAAGAAAAGTTATTGGGGATTTTTTTTTTTTTTTCATCGGGGAGTAAACTACTGATGAGCTTTGATGATTTAAGTATAAAGGAAATATTATTATGCTGATAAGCCCTACGTACACATACATACATACACACACACCGCCCTTCAGGATTTATTGACCAGTCTCCAAAACTGGGCCACCAACAACCATGTCACCATCAACCATACCAAGACCATGGTTATGCACATCAACCTCTCCTCCGACATTGTCCCACCTCCTTCCATTACCCTAGGTCCGAACACACTCCAGGTTGTAGATTCCACGAAGCTCCTCGGCGTCACCATAGACAACAAACTAAATTGGAAACCACACGTCAGTGAAGTTGTCAAATCCTCCAGTTTCCGTCTCCACCTCCTCCGCCGACTCAAGTCCCTCGGAGTTCCCGCACACGAGCTCCTCAGTGTATACACAACATTCATACTTCCCAAGCTCACCTATGCCTCCCCCACCTGGTCTTCCTCCCTAAATGCCACACAACGTAAACACCTAGAAAAAGTGCAAAAGAGGGCATGCAAGATTATTCTCTCCCCTTCCTACTCCACATATCAAGAAGCGCTCAACACACTGACCCTTTCGACTCTCACTGACCATCACCACGGCCTCATCTGCAAATTTGGTAAGAAGCTTCTACACCATCCCCGACACCGGCCCCTACTACCACCTGAGATCCCCTGTCCGAGAATTGCTGTTCGACACCACAACCGCATCCAGCCCATACGTGCACGAACTGATCGCTATAAGAACAGCCCAGTCCCAACCATTGTAAAAATTATCAATAACATGTAATAAATCAGTGTATTCACTCCCAGTAAACACTGCTCCCTACACTGTCACTATGTTGAAATGAACTGTAGTTTGAGCTGATCCCCATCTAAGTTACTATATGTCTTATTTGTGTCACTTATGTCGCTTGTATATTATTTGTAATTCGTAACCCATTCCCCAAATATGTAACTGTATATTTTCAGCCTTCTGGCTGCCAAGCTCTTTCAATAAACCGTTAATTATTATTATTATTATTATTATTATTCACACAGACACTCTCTCTCTGTCTCTCTCTCACACACACACACACGTATTGGTCTAGAGAGCTATGACTTTGTACACGAGTAACACAAAATATCAAATCATCAAACGCCATTATCATTTATTGAATTTACTGAACTGATAACACCTACCATGATCAGTGTTGGTTTGACTTACCGACTTAACACTTACGGCCCAGAACTTACTACTACTACAAGTACTACTTTTTTTCAATGACGTGGCCTCCAACCTTCTCTTATACTACTACTACTACTACTAACTACTATTTTTTTTTACAATGTCCTCCAGCCTCCCCCAATAGCCATACCTTCGCCGCCATTTTATTACCTTAATATCAAATATCCTAATACATAAGTAGCTATCCTAGCTGTGTTGACTTAGTTGAGCCGCAGATCTATGCGGCATTCAGTGACTGTAGCCTCATAGTCAATATCTGCAGCTGATGTCGGCATTGGGGCAGAAGCTCTCGTTTCCTGAGGCAGAGCAAAGCCGACCTAAGGAGAGGGAAGAACATTCGACATCTCATCCAGGCTGTAACATAACTTCTGGGCTGCTGCTTCAGTTCGGAGGTCAACTCCGCGAGTCTGGCGTAGAAGCATCTTGCACTTGGTCCCATCCCACCAGAGGTTGTGAACACTAGAGGAGTGAAGCTGCCTTGATCAACATTCTGAATTCTCTACTACTACTACTACTAACTACTACTATTACTACTACTACTTACTCTGACTAAGAAGAGACCCAAGGGATTCTAAAAGAAATCTCAGGACGGAAGGTGAACGGGGACCTGAAGAAGATTGGACGGAAAAAACAGACAGATGGTAATCAGACTTGGACAGGAGAAACAGCATCACACCCACCGCTATCCAGGACATCATCACGCCCACCCACACCTGGCGACGACATACAGGTGAATAAAGATAAAGTTATTTCATTGATGCTGTTAAAATGATAAGAGAGATAAGAAACGAGTATTTAAATGTTCAATATAGGGTAAACAACTGAGATATATAGGGTTAATAATATTATACTTGTATACTTAGAAATACTTTGATATACACATACATATACATACGAGCATGCATAACATAGACAATATATACATACACAACACAACACAAAACAACACAACACACATACAACACAACGCAACGCAACACAATACAATACTCACATAGCCACTGAACGGCATCAAGAAAGCAGAGAGATCAACATTCTCCTGAGAGGCTGGGATCATAATGTCCCACGGCTCGAAGTCAAACGGAGTGGTGAAGTCAATCGCCTTTTCTCTCTCCTCTGTGATCGACGTAGGACCCAGGGCCATATCCATCTCCTGTAGGGGGAGGAGGGAGGAAGGAGAGAGGCATGAAGCTCCTGTACGGGGATGAAGGAGAGAAGCACGAAGCTCCTGTAGGGGGAGGAGGGAGGAATGAGAGAGGCATGAAGCTCCTGTAGGGGGAGGGGAGGAATGAGAGAGGCATGAGCTCCCTTTGGGGGGTATGGAGGGAGAAAGGCACGAGCTCCTGTAGGGGGGAGGAGGGAGGAAGGAGAGGGCATGAAGCTCCTGTAGGTGGAGGAGTGGTGAAGGAGAGAGGCATAACGCTCCTGTATGGAGAGGAGGAGGAAGGAGAGAGGCATGAAGCTCCTGTAGGGGAGGAGGGATGGGAGGCATGAAGCTCCTGTGGGGGAGGAGGGATGAAGGAGAGAAGAAGCCCTGTAGGGGGGAGGAGGGATGAAGGAGAGAGGCATGAAGCTCTGTAGGGGAGAGGATGAAGGAGAGAGGCATGAAGCTCCTGTAGGGGAGGAGGATGAAGGAGAGGCATGAAGCTCCTGTGGAGGGAGGAGGGCTGAAGGAGAGAGGCATGAAGCTCCTGTAGAATTTAACTGGTTCAGGAGAAAGAGACAAGTAGTGCATTGTTGGTATACTTGCTGAATCAATGTATTTAGTAGTAGTAGTAGTAGTACTGTAGTAGTAGTAGTAGTAGTAGTAGTAGTAGTAGTAGTTGTAGTAGTAGTAGTAGTAGTAGTAGTAGTAGTAGTAGTAGTAGTAGTAGTATATAGTACTACTATTAATGCTATAGGAGAGAGAGTAGGAATGAGCTTGTACGATAGACAGATAGACAGACAGACAGACAGACAGACAGACAGACAGACAGACAGACAGACAGACATATAGATAGATAGATAGATAGATAGATAGATAGATAGATAGATAGATAGATAGATAGATAGATAGATAGATAGATAGATAGATAGATAGATAGATAGATAGATAGATAGATAGATAGATAGATAGATAGATAGATAGATAGATAGATAGATAGATAGATAGACAGACAGAGCTATTACTCACGTTTCTATGCACTTCCCCCACCATACCGTTCCAGGATCCGTCACTACTGATGGAGCCCCACTTGCCATCGTCAGGTAGTTTCATGATGTACCTGTAGGTGAGGATACGTACACGAGAACCATACATACATACACATACATATAGGCCATACACACACATACACCCATCACTAGAAACAGCAGGATGGTGGTATCGAACGAGTGTACTCACGTGAAGTTGTAAATCTGAGTCAGGGTGTGGAGCAGTTCAATGAGTATCCCTGAAGAACCGATGACTTGACGTCCTCTGAGCTCCAGGAACACGTACGGCGCCCTCTGGAGGATGTGGTGATTAGACTAGCTATAGTGGGGTCCTAATCTTAATAGTTAGTTTTAGTCAGTCTAGTCAGTTTAGTCAGTTTAGTCAGTTTAGTCAGGGGTATTCATGGCGATTTCTTTTTTTAGAATTGTTTTTAATATATTTTAAGTAAATTTTAAAAGAAATTCATATAATATTTTACTGGTGGTGACTCTCTCTCTCTCTCTCTCTCTCTCTCTCTCTCTCTCTCTCTCTCTCTCTCTCTCTCTCTCACGTGTTTGAGGACGATGGTGAGTACATGACCCTGCAGTAGAGCTTTGATAGTGGCCCTCACGTGAGCTCTGTACTCCTGACCTCTCAGTGGAGTGTGTTGGCTCAGATCTTTGGCTGGAGACGTCACCCAACATCCAGTCAGCTCCTGGTGTCTGTGGGGACGATACAGGGATACAGGAGTTCAAGAATACAGGGATACAGGAGTTCAAGGACACAAGGATACAGTGGTACAAAAGATACAGCTATATTACCACCATCAACATACTGTACATACACTCCTGAACGCTTATAAAACTTACCCTACGCGTTGAAAGCTAGCCAGATGGTGTGTGAGGGCGTGGGTGAGGTTGTAGGCGTGTGTTGAGGGTGATACTACGGGCGTGTGGAGGTGGAGACGTGTCAACACCCCCTTCACCCACTCCGTCAGTATCCTAGGTAAACAGTACGTCCTCTGGTGGTCCTAAAAGGTACTAACAGTTTTATTAAATGAATCACTATGAAACGAGGTTATGTTTATTGAGACTTGTGTTGGTAAAGAAGGTCTGTTTAGGTCACTTAAAGATTAGTTTTCACCTCCAGTTTATTTTACCTGATGATTGAACACCCTCACGTTACCTGGGGGGGTTAGGTTAGGTTAGGTTAGTGTAGAGTGGCGGTAGTGTAGTTGATTAAGTGTAACTCTTTACCATAAGGGTGTAGAGAGGCAGTAGTGTAGATGGTGTTGATAGGTTACCACAACTCTCTACCATCAAGCTTAGAACTGGTACGCCTACGCCAAGGTCTTCCATTACGCCCACCACGCCCCCCTTCCAGCACCGCCCATAAGCGACCAAGCCAACGACTCCTGCCAACATAAGGAAAATGTTAGCTAAGTTAAGTTTAATACGGTAAGGGAAAATTTAGTTAGGTTAGATCAGGTTAGGTTACGTTAGGTCAAGCTGGGGTAGATTAGGTTTGGCTGGTTAGGTTAGCTTAGGTGAACTTAGATTAGGTTAGCTCCATGTCGTGTCTCTTCAGCTAATGAATAAATAACAAAATAAATAATAAACGAATTATTAGTCATCCCCTCCTTTTTTTACACACATATATACACCACAGTCTTGCGTGTCAGTAATATTACCAGGAATCTGTGAGGGAAACGAGGCAGGACTTGTGGTAATAATAATCTGTACGGTAAAGTTCAGCTCGATACTCAAGCTCTTCATCGTCTCCTTCAGGTGTTTGTGGTCCTCTGGCGCCTTTCCCGGTGTCGTCTCTTCCAGCACCACACCTGCATGAGATTAAAGCGATATAATACGAATTACAATGATGTACGATTGATATTGTTATTGTATACAAATTAGTGATTTATGCCCAGCACCTGCAAGTCTGAGTACATTCAATCAGGTGAAGTTTTAGCCAACGACTGGCCACTGGGGTCTCCGTTCCATATACCTCTCGCATGATGGCGGTGGAGCAAGAGAACCATTTTTACGTGACCCTCAGCCAGTGATATCAAGAGGGGTAAAAATCAGAGACTTCAGTGGTTCATTCGATTTATCTTCATGACTTATCTTCGTTATTTGTTATCTTTGTTATTTGTTATGATTACCTCACCTGAGAAGAAGAAAAAAACAAGTAAAAAACAATAATTCCCCTTTGGTACGCGCCTTACTAGACACTCAGTTTAATGCATCGTCTACGAACTTAAAATAGTTTCCGACTACTGATAAGGTACTGGATGTTTTTTTTATTGCAATGTTCTCCTTTATAGAAATAATTTAGGTGACAAATCATTTCTAATATTATATTCATGGAGAAATTATTTATATATGGATCAGGTAATTGGTTATTTGTGAGTGATGACAGAAAAATCGATAAGTTATACATGTAGTAGTTATTCTTATTTTTTAAACTTTTATAATATAACCATACAGACTATAACACATTTTCTACCGAGTAAGTGTAATTTGCATAGTGATTATTGATATTTAGTTAATTTGACCAAGGATAGCCGACAAGCCATGAGGTGCTTAGTTCCAGTAACGTGTTCCCAGGCAGTCCTCCATCCCGGTGCTATCGCCAGACCCAACCGACTTTGCTGGTCAGAGTCAGACGAGAAGTGACGTTTTCAATTTGTTAAATTAGGAACTTGTGTCGTTGTGTGTTCGGTTAACAATTTGAGACTATTGCATTTCTATTATCTGCTAATCACTGTTGGCAAATATTGAACGTGTACGGTCTCTTGAATATGCCTGAACATCGACAACTTTAAAAAAAGAACACATTATTTCAGGCATCTATACTGTAGCGCTCGGTCTTTCGGTCGATAACCAGAATGTGGTCTTCGTCTTAAGTAAGGCAGCATGATATGAGTCTATGAATGGCAGGATGGACATGATATTTACCGATGACTGGTGTGGTGGACGAGGCGAGGTTGACGCATGTTGCAGCCATCAACAACAGCCAAGCCAACGGCAGCATCACGGTTCCTGCAACATAATACTTCACTATTTGCAACACAGAAATATTCCTTCATCTGGAACAAACTTTAATATTCCCTTACGGCTCCTGTAACACATTAATACGCCACGTGCAACACATTAACTGTCCATCATAGTACCACTTCGAGGGAAAGGGCTTTAGAGATCCAAAGAAATTTGTATATCTGCTTAGTTGATTTTGAAAAGTCTTTTGATAAGGTAAAATACAATAAACTTATAGAAGTCTTAGAAAAAATACTTTCTTTTTACGGGAATTAGCCCACCCGGGCACAGGTCGAACGACCCACAACGGGCCTTGGGGGTTGTAAAAATAAGAACAAAAAGAAATTAAAAACAGAGAAGAAAAAGGTTATACCGTGTTAATCTATACCCGAAGATGCCGGAAAACCAGCTTTTTTAAAGTGAGACAGATTGTATAAGTATGGAAACACAGAAGGCAGAGCATTCCACAGTTTGGCTGTGTGAGGAAAGAAGGATGTACTATAACGGGTTATTCTAGTGTGACCGACATCCACAGAGAAACGGTGGGCACCGCGGGCAAGACGTGTGTTACGAGCTCACTGCCTTGCCGGCGGTACACAGGATGCCAAATACACCTAACATTGCCCGTTAAAGTACCTGTAAAAGAGAGAGAGTGAAGCAACATTGCGGCTAAAAGAAAGAGAAGAAAGATTGTCAACTAAAGGAGAGTTAACAAGACGAAATGCCATTGATTCCACCCTATCTAACAGTTGGACAGAAGAAGAGCCACTACAGATATGAGAGCAGTACTCCAAGTTAGGCTGAATGAATCCCTTATATACTTGAAGCAACTGCTCAGGAGTGAAGTAGCTACGGCATCTGTACAGCATTCCCAACTTTCGGGAGGCAGCTTTAGCTATGTTAAGGATGTGTGATTTCCATGACATATTGGAGGAAATGGTGAGGCCTAGCATATCTATTTCAAAATTTGGCAGAATTCTGAAATATAATTGGTGGGAGATAATCTAATTTAGAAAGTGTAATTGGTAAATACTGAATTTTATTACTATTGAATTTAACCAAGTTTCTACCTACCCATTCAGAGATGCTGCACAGATCCGCATTGATAGAAGTAATGATATCAGCTCTAGAAACAGATCTAGTTTGAGAGTAGGAGGAAGGGGAAAATGTAAAGAAGAGTGAAGAGTAGAATCATCCGCGTAAGACTGGATAGAATTAGTTGTAGTGTGAAGTAAATTATTGATAAAAAGAATGAAGAGAGAAGATGAAAGAACAGAATCCTGTGGGACATCAATATTGGTAGAGAAAGAGCGAGAGATCGATCCCTCTACAACAACTGCCACAGCACTAGGATCCCGCTTCCTCTATCAAGGAATAAACAATTGAAATTGAAAAATTGAACAAGTGCCATGGATCGGTTCTCAAGGAAGCTAGAGATTAGAAAACAAAGTGGGGGAGAGAAACCATAAGAGGGAAGTTTAGAAAGCAAAGACTTGTGCCATACCCTGTCAAATGCTTTGGAAATGTCGAGGGCCACGACAAAAGTTTCCCCATAATCCCTAAGAGAGGATGACCAAAGATGGGTGCAGTAGGAGAGCAGATCACCAGTAGATCTCGCCTGGCGAAAGCCAGACTGGTGATCCGACAAAAGAGAAAGGCGTTCAAGGTGACGGAGAAAATGGGAGTTCAAGATAGTTTCGAAAATCTTAGAGAGGGATGAAGTTAGGGCAATGGAGCGACAGTAAGAAGGATTAGAATGGTCACTCTTCTTCGAAGTGTTAGTAAAAAAATTAACTTACTAGTTGGTTCACAGTTAGACTGGAAGTAAGACAAGGTTGTGTTCCTTCTCCAACATTGTATAATATATATTCAGAATTCTTAATGAGAGAAGTTATAAGTGATAATGAAAGACTAAAAGTTAATGGTAAAGTATGCAGACGACACTGCTCTTATCACAAGTAGTGAAGAGGCGTTACAGAAACTCGTTAACAGAGTAGTGGTTTAAGAGTTTGTGTTGTAAAAACGAAAGTAATGGTTCTTTCTAAATAGGAAATATATAATAAAATAAAAATTATGGTAGGCAACAGGGGAACTTTAAGTAGAAACATTGTGCGTATTTGGGAAGTAACATTGGCTGTTATGGTAGATGAACGAAAGAAATAACAGGATTTAAGTCAAGCGAAAACAGGATATGGTCAGGACAGGATTGTTGTACGGGTATGAAGCGTAACACTCTCAGCATAAACCAAAGTTGGAGGCCTTTAAAATATGGCGTTATAGGCGAATGCTAAGAATAAATTACACTGACTAGACAACAAATGAAGAACTGCTGAGGTTAGCAAAAACTACAAGAGAAATATTTGAAATTAAAAAAAAAAGATACTTTGGTCATATAATTAGGGATGAGGGAATAATAACAGAAATAATGGGCAAAGTTGAGGGTAGGGAGGCCAACCCTCAGGTATGCGGACGGTGCTCTGATTGATTGATAGTACAGGTACCTGCAACACATTAATACTCCATCATAGTACCTGTAACACATAAATACTCCATAACGGTACCTACAATCATTAATATATTTAATTCTTGTACTAAGTAACATATTTTTTATACTTACTAAATGGTTGAGTAAGACAACAATGCTGATGGCTGGAAGTACGAAGACAGAAGCACCCTGCCACTCACCCGCCCTGATCACTGATGCAGACTAATGACGAGTTTCAGAAGTTCAGAGACACACCCTCCTGTGGTTTTTGTTTTGACTGGACAAGCCAACGCATGCGCAGTAACTGGTGGGCTTCATACTTTAACTGAATACAATTAGTGTTTAGATGTTCTTTTATGCTGAAAGTACTTGTGTCTCCCGTAAGTGCACTGTACTTTCTTCCGCTTTGTAATACTAGATATGTACAAACGAGTCACTGAAATCCCGCTGTAGAAGATTAGCGAGAAAATGAGAGCATTGTACATATTTCGACCGTAGCCTCGACGGTTCTCTTCAACAGGATTTCAGCATTAGGATTTATGTGGTATGACACGATTTTCTTCAGTTATAAACATGCATTTGAAAACTCTTTAACCTGGTAATAAAGAAATAGCTACGGTAGCGTTTTAATCTGATTAATCATACACACAGCACACGGGACTAGAGGCACATTAGAAACACAATGCTTCGTTACTTAAGGCAGTCGCCCTTCTTGTAGCGACACCTTATTAATTATTAGCTACCACTCGCCCATCATCTTACCAGACACGCTCAAACTTAGAACCCTTAGTTCAGTTATATACATATTTCAGTGAGGAATGCATGTGTCTCTGTACCTATACCTAACGCCAAATGGTAATACAATGTAATTTTCAGCTGTTACAGTATTCTCTCTCTCGCCATTCAATATGTGTCTACCGGTAAATATTGTAATAATGTTCTTGTCCTGTAGAAATGTTATTATTACGAAAAGATCTCAGAAGACCTTGTTTTTATTATTATTATTATTATTATTATTATTATTATTATTATTATTATGCCGGACTTTTGTTGTGGCACTACGGGAGATAATTTGTATTTTGTATCGTTATGGTACATAAGTATGGCCTCTTGGACATTATTGTGACGCAGCGGGGGAGTTTATCATTATTTTGCCTTTGTTGAACTAAATTATGGCCCAGTGGATTTCGTTATGGTATGGCCGGGGACCTGAGTATGCCTTAGTAACAAACTTTTATTGATCTAAACATGACTGGTAATAAATATATAATGGTTTTCTTGTGTAATACTTCGTCGAATCGCATTATTGTATACCTGCGCTGTCTATGTATGCATATTGAATCAAAGTGAACTTGTATAACGATATTACTTAATTAATATCTATCAATATATCAATCTATTTGCCTCTCTTTCTCTCCCTCTCTCTCTGTCGGTTTGTCTCTTATCTATCTATCTACTATCAGAAGAGCACCGAAATTATGCAAGACATTCTCATTGCTTACGAGTTTCATTAATAAATCAGACAGACGCATTATCAATAACTGAATCCTAACACACATATCCAGGAGAGATAATAAGAAATTTTACACATTGCATTAAACTAAGTAAAGAAGCGTCTTTTAAGGATTACTTTTGTTCAATCCACACACCTGTAACAAACTTCATATTGTACAACATTTCATTAATCTTCAATATACCTCTGTTCTTCCTAAAATAATAATGAAAAAATCATTGTATTTTTCACCGTCAATCATCTGAAATTTAAGACCCATCTGCTGTATATTTTTGTACCTGACCATCTGTAACCACCTGAATATTCCACTGTAATTAATTATTATTATCCATCGGCTCTTCTTGCCAATAGGGAAAATTTCGTTTCAGGTGATTAATTCCCCAAGTTTATTACACCTGAAGAACGTTAGTAATTAGACATATTTTAAGATTTAGAAACACGTATTATTTGGAACACCTTTACGAAGATTAATTACAATATATACAGGTAAAGTCCAAAGGTAAAAATTATCGTATTGGTTTTTCTTAAGATCGTGAAATATTTTTTTTAAATAAATGAAAATGATTCCTTATTTCTTGTTGGTTAATGTGATTTTTATTTATTTATTATGAATGATTAGTGTTTAGAAGGTCCTTTCACTATACGTATTATTATTAGTAGTAGTAGTATTAGTAGAAGTAGTAGTACAATTATTTTTTAACTTGAAAACCCCATTTTCTGTGACCTCTGTGACTCGATGGGGAACCATGGAAAAAAATAACTACATGAACTTGTTACACAATACAGTAGGCAATGGACGCAGAGGTCACACTATTACAAGGCAGCCTTGGGCCTCACACCATTAAAGTGAACTAAGAAAACTGTTGAGTGACGTTTTAAAATAGATGAAAGAGTGACGTAGGGTGAAGGTTAAATCTGATTGGCTGTTACGTCTGCATGCGATCCCGGGTTAAGTGGGTGTGGTGGGAGCCTGGGAGGATTGGCAGATATGTTACACACGCACTCGTACACACACACCCAGACAGAGACAGAGTGTGAATAATAAAAATGAAGTCAAACTAAATTAAAAAAAACTGTTAACACATTAAAATAAAACACATGACATTAATACCTTCTTACATAATATATCCCTTTACTAAGTTACATAACAGCTGCCTTCCTCCGTGTAAATAATGAATGTTGGCCGCGAGCTGTTTTGGGGTCCACGGTTAGTAAGATAAATGACAACTGTAAGTCATATGAGAATGTAACTCTTTGGTTAACCGAATTAAAAAAAATGTAAGATGAATGTTTATCGTAATTGACTGATATGCATTATGTATGTAACTTGTTAGCGTCAGTCAACACTAGTTAAGAATTGGTTCCCTCTAACCTAACATAACCTAACCATACTAAACTTAGCTTCTAACTCAACCTAACTGAAACTAACCTTACCAAACTTAGCTTAACCTAGCGCAACCTAACCTTACCTGACGTAACCTAATCAAACAAAACCTCCTCCCCAAAATAGCATTCGTATATTAAATCAACAGGTAAAATCTGTCGGTATGTTTAATATTCACGTAATTCCAAAGAACAATTACGAACCTTTGAGAAATTAAACTTTAGATTTTTTAAACTTAGGAGAAAGTTTTCGTTCTCTCCTTGACTTTAGAGAATACTGCCTCAGTTGTGTTGAAAATGATGGTCACTCACAAGGCTAATAATATCTCTTTTGTTATATTTTCTGTAAGTGTTGTTTTTTATTAGTTGCATGAATTAGTTTGTAATAATTCATGTAATGTCTGTAATGAATAGTGTTTATGTATTGTGATTATTTTGTAATATATGCAGCTTACGTGTTCGTGTTTCTGTACTTGTACCTCTTGAAAGCTACTTATACGACCTGGACTTACATCTTAATTTGTTACTTTACCTATCCTTCAACTTGTACCTGTACCAGCACCTGTATCTACACTACTTTTACTACTGTATTCTTAATTAATAGATTCAAAATACTTACGGCCTTAGTAACTCAACTAGATGAGTGTTCCTGTAATGGGTGCATAACCTTGGAGGGTGACAGCCAGCCTTCAAACTCTCTCTCTGTGTTATTACAACTCTCTCCTTAAAGCAGATGTACTTCCGTAACCAGTTCATTACTGTATCCACGAATCACTGTATTCTGTATCCATGTATCACCATATTAGTGTCCATGCATCACTGTATCCACGGGCCGCGTATCACTACATTCAGTTATCACTGTATCACTACACTTCTGTATCCATGTATCACTGTTACTTTTCCGCTGTATTTGTGCCACTGCATCACTGTATTCCCTGTAACTGTATACTGTATTATGTATGAGTGTGTCTGCCGTATCTCAGCAGTCCATTATTCATGTATACATCATAGCTGAGGTAACAGTGAGGTCAGATTTTACACAGGAAGTCAAGTGACGTCAATTAATGAGCAGTCGGTCGGTCGGTGGGTAATAGTTTAGCTTCGTTAACATGCCAAGGTTGTCTGCTAAATGTGTGTGTGTAAATTTTACCCCCCAAAATAGTAGTCATTATTATTATTATTACTATTATTGTCGTTATTATTACTACTTTTATGCTTATGATTATTTATTGTTATTGTCATTAATAATATAGAATTGTTATGACTGTATTACTAACCCCTTGTGTATGGGAAGTTTATCCTGAATAAAAGCATCTGGCGTTATCAAAGTGAAATTGAGTGGTATCCCATATTGGAGGGTTAAACCTTTAATCTTACAAAGTCCTTGGTCATGCCCCCCTATCCTGCCCTGCCTCTCCTTCTAACATACTTTTTAATATTTTTATTTAAATCGTTAATTCATTATTCAAAACAAACTATCCTATTCATTCTTATCTGAATTGGATATGGAGAAGAAAAAAAATTTCCTTCTGGAAATTTACCAAACTAGCAACTCAGTTCTGCCTGGTGCTATAAATTCAGTGCTGGCGGTTAAGTCTGCACAGTTTCCCTTAAGTTGATCTTGAGAGAAAACCTAATTACAGTAGGAAGGTAAGGCTGAAGTTGTTGCATCATGTACAGTACATATTACTTTGAGTTACATTGTTATTTATGATCAGCTAAGTTTTATATTCACGCATAATTCAAGCTTCTCTATACAAGACTATTTAACTTTTAGTCCTAAGGTTTGCCCCTAGTTTGGTTTAATAGCTATAAGCCTATATGTCACTCCAAAAAGTATTATTTACGTAGGTGTCTGATGAATTTCAAAATGAGCAACCGTGACTCCTGTTGTCTCGGTAGGGTTGTCAAATCCTTCGTCCGCTGTGTCATATTCTCACACAAAATCGTGAAGATAATTTTTGGAGCAAATATTACAAACAAAATCATAAAATTCCAGAAAGTTAAATACAAAACTAATGAACAGTGCAGTAGTATTATCAGTAATAGTAGGAGGAGGATAGACAATTATAATTAGCATCAGGTAGAATAAACAAGGGAAATCAGAACAATAGGGACTAGGACTCTTGAATAATCAAATTAAACAATAGACATTTGATTATAATACAAGAGAAGATAAGATAAACCAGAGTAGACTTTAAACCTGTTAGGAACCTAGATAATAAGACGAATTACTAAGACTAGATTAAGATACACTGTAAGGTAGGCCAGATAAGACCAGAGACAAGTTAGGAACCAAGGTAGCAAGACGACCACTCTCCAACATTAACACGGGTATCACTCAAACTCCACAATGACAGTGTGGAGACTAATTTCCTAGACAACAATAGTGTGGTAACAGGATCAACAGGTCTCCCACTTATACCAGTTAAGTTATGTAATTACAGTTAAAACAATAACATAACTTCTAAATTCATCTTCACTACTGTACTTCTTGAACATTTAGTACTCAAGACAGTGATGCTTATATATGGTATTACAGCAGCTTCAGAGGAGAACAGTACTGAGTAGATCACAGGAAACTAAATCATGAATGTAACGGTTTTGACATTGAAAGTTTAAGCAATAGTTTTTATTTGGGTAAATTATTTTTTACTTTAAAGGATTCTATGGGGATTTTGAATACATTTGATTTTTTATCTCATTAAGTGGACTTTTTACTTCATAAGTTTTTGTTAAAGAGTTTTTAGGCATAAGATTTTATAGACATTTAAAACTAAGAAAAATTACCTTTTGAAAAGTAGATAAGAATAGCACTGTCCATAAAGATACATTATCACCATGATATCTGAATCCCTAAGGTCCAAGAATACACATACAGTATACAGTTTAAGTTAATACAGTATGTGAATTCCATGGTCCTTAGATCTACATTTTGAGGATACAGTATTTCTGGATCCCTGTGGTACATAAATAACTATTCTTAAGGTTATATCTATAGAATTTACATAACCTTTGTTGGAATACTAAGTTACTACAGTGAAAAGTCATTCATAGTTTTTGTTGACACAGATGCGTGTGGCCGTGTTGTTAATAGTGGTGATGGCTGGCACAGCAGCAGCTTACCCAGATGGAGGACGAGGCCACAGAGCTCATCAACAACAAGCTGGTGAGAGACTAATTGCCTCTGCACTGGCAGGAGCAGCACAAGGAGTCCTCAGTGAAGTTCTCAATTCCAATGATCCTTATCATGGACATTATGACCACCACTATCACCAACACCAAGACCCCTACCATCACGGATCTAACATTTACGCCCATGGTTTTGGCTATAACCAACCTGGATTTGGTCTTGGTGGTTATAATGGGTATTATCACCCTGGCTTGGGCTACAATAATTACTATGGGTAGATTCAACATTCCCACAGCTTGTGTATACAGTAGTTGTACAGTACATACTTCTTTGTTTGTCTTCACCTGTAAATGTTCCCTGCCTGTCTACACTTCATAAATTCCCCACCTGTTTACACTTGCATATATTCCCACTGCCTGTCTACAATTGTTTACATGGTATTCTAATAACAAAATATTTATTGTATTGTACAATACAGTACTGTGCGGTATTGTATTTTTTTTTAAGTTTAACACAATCAATCTACAGCTATTCATTTATATTTATCATGATGCAATAATTTAAAAAGTTTGAGGCATTCATATTTATATTAAGTACATCATAAATTAATATTAATTCCTTTTTATGATCTTAAGAGTCCCCTAAATAATACTTACTCAAACCTTCACTTGATGTTTTCCTCATTGTCCTTTAAATGTTGTACTGTACAGTACATCACTTTATTGTACCAAGTGACTTTTATGATGTTGTACAGCATCTTATTGTACCATGTTGCATACTTAATGTTATACAGCACATTATTGTACCAAATGCCCAACATCACTACTCCATGCCACCAGGTAATACAAGCAGTACCCAGAAGTTAGCACCTCAAGGCTGGGTTTCCCTTGATTATTAAGATCGAAGACAAACTTGTGGAAGAAATGGGTTCAATTACACTCAGGAAAAATCAAGGTGGAAGGGAAGAAAAATAATAACTTCTGTAATATATTAATTTTTAACATTTCATTTCAATAAGGAAACAAAATTTTATGAGTATCTTTACAGACTCAAGACAAGAAAGATTGGAGGATAAAATAAATGGTTCTGATTACATCTAAATATCTTATGTCTGTGATTGTAATAGTACTGAATTTGCAGGAGTTTCAAAGTGACAAATTTCAAATATATTCAGTTTTGTTTTTATATTTTTGATCACTGTAGCCAAGTCATAGGGTCACACTAATCTAAATATCATTGTATCTGTATTAACTGGACTATTGATGTAGGAGTGTAAGTTATGTATGTCTGCAGGATAGGAAAAAGATCCTATACATCTGCTTACAGTATATACCATGACAACCACTAAAGCTTTAATATTTTGGAGGTTAGAACATCTTGTATGTGAGGAAAAGTAGATATTATCCTTGCAGTCCCTAACTACAGCTACTGTACTAAATGTTGTCGAACAGAATTTAATGATTATAATGTGTCTCAGCATCAATTCCAGACATTTCCAGAAAAGACAGGTGGTCATTTAGTCAACCTACCTAGTCAGTGTACTGTATACTGCTGATATTATTTCAACACTGTCAATCTTCTACGGAAAAGTACTGAATCTATGAAAGCAGAATGGAATAAATGAGAGGAAAAAACACACATACATGAACAAGTAAACATCAGCACAACTCAAGTCCCACAGCAAAAACAACAATCATATCTCAGGTTGAATAAAAATCTCCCTGCATGTCATCATTTATGTATTATATAGATAGCTTACAATACTGAGAACATTGTAAGGTTTAGAACATTCAGAGGATCAAAACAAATAAAAACATGTCAAGTTAAACTCTTCAGCAAATTAGATCTTAAACTTATTTTACCTGTTTTATGAAACACAAGAATTAAGTGGGTCTTTTATGGACCTCATGAAATTAGTTTGACAAGAGTTGTAATCGTACTTTCAAAAGAGTTATTACACTGTACGTACAATTAAAATTTTTCCCATAACAAAGACTCACAAAGGTAAATTACAATTACCTGTACAAATTACCAACCTACTAGAACAATGCCACACTGTATGAGCTCATATGTACATGAGCAGCAGATCTTGTTACTAACACAGTTACCAGAAGAACTGCAACAAATTGAGAATAACCGAATCAGGATGAGATCAATGTCTGTTGCTTATCTATCTTGAGCCATTAAAAAACAGACCAAACAATGAACATCTATGATCCTGGTCTGACAAGAAGTCATACCACAAATTCTAATAGCTACAGTGAATTCTTTGAGATTTGGAATCCTCAAGAACAAAATCATGCTGGATTATCAAAAACTGCTAACTTGTTGAGAGTATTGCTGTATACAGTATAATAGACAACATTTGACACCATGTCAGTGATAAAACTCTTTCATTTCTATAAAACTATTTCATTAATACCTCTACATATAGAAATGGAGATGACTGTATGTACAAAGAAAACTAAAGAAACTACCATCTCACAAATGCCAGAGAAAGACTGTTAGAGCATTCCACAACCTGCTGGATACAATCACTTTAGATTAGGGTACTGTAGCTTTAAATGAATTAGTACTAGTACTACATTGAGACCTTGAAAATTAGTTTCTTGAGAATTACAGTTTAATGCCTAATATTAAAGCATTTTCCATACAGTACCAGCACAGCAAAGCCCTAAGGGGATAAAAGGACCAGGTTATTATCCAACAACATATTAGTCACAGACTGTTTCACCTGGACTTCATTTCATTGAAATTAATCTAGAAGGCTATTTCTGAGGCTGCTCTGTGCTTGTCCATTTCCAATTTATCAGGTACTGGCCCAAGCTAAGCTGGGCATAGAAAGATGTCTGTTCCTCATTTAATAAATATTCATAAGGTTTGTACATCAAAATATTCATATTTTGTATTCCAACAACAAAAACTTTGTGCCATATTTTCATACATCTACTGAGAACAAAATAAAATAAAAAGTCTTAGCAGAATGGATTCATGTGTCAAGTTTGAAGACAATATGAACACTAAAGTATTTGTATTGTGTAAGAACTTTAGATTATTCAAGAGAAGACTTTTGTGCAAACTCTTTAAGACAATCTAAACACTGAAATATGATTTCTCCTGTGAGAACCTTAACATGTTGTACTAAAGTAGAGTCAGGAGTAAAAGTCTTGAGACATTCAGAACACTTAAATGGTTTACCTATAGTATGAACATTCATATGGTCTGCTAAACTAGATTTACATGAAAATTCCTCGGTACAAACTGAACACTGAAATGATTCCTTTGCTGTATGATCTATCATGTGTTTTACTAAATCAGATTTTTCTGAGAATCTTTTACGACACTCTGTACACTGATATTTCTTTCTTGTGTGAACTCTCATGTGTTTTACTAGATGAAATTTATATGAAAAGCCTTTAAGACATTCTAAACACTTAAATGGCTTCTTACCAGTATGTACTCTCATATGTCTTACTAGAACAGACTTTTGTGAATAGTCTTTCTGACAGACTGAACATTGAAATGATTTCTCCCCTGTATGAACTCTTTTGTGTACTACAAGAGAAGATTTTTGCACAAAGCTTTTATGACACACTGAACACTGAAATGGCTTCTCTCCTGTATGAACTTTCATATGTTCTTCAAGATGAGATTTATAGGAGAAATTCTTAAGACATTCTGAACACTGAAATGGTTTATCTCCTGTATGGCCTTTCATATGAGTTACCAAATTAGATTTTTCTGAAAAGCTTTTAAGACACTCTGTACACTGATATGGTTTCTCTCCTGTATGAACTCTCATGTGTTTTATTAGATTGTATTTCTTTGTGAAGGTTTTATTACAATCAGTGCATTGATGTGATTTCTTTGTTGTCTGACCTTTCACTTCTGTTGCCACAGAGGATATTTCTGTTGTGTCTTCAGACATTCTGGACACCTGTACAGTTCCTCTAGTGTAAAAAGACTCTTACATGTGTTACTGATGATCAGACTAGGAATCAGAAGAGATTCTAATCAATGCAGCCGTTCCTCTCTCCTAAATCACTCTGTATGTTCCACTTCATCTATCTGATAGTGAAGAACAGTCAATTATTTATAAGATTCCAAATAATCATCTAACAATAAATAGAATATCATTTACTACAAGTTAACGCTATACCATACATGTACAGCAGTACCTCGCTGGGATGAGTTTTAATATAGTGGATGTTGATAAAACTCCTTCAGTAATAATGACGAGGGGATGGATTATAACTGCACTGGATGATGAAGGTGTATGTGATAATGTACAATGAGAACTAAATATGGACTCAGCTTGATGCAGGTCATGGCTTCATCGCTTGATATGACATATATTCACATGGAGAATTCTCTATATTTCCAAGTACCATAGCTACTGTTAGTTATCTTCTGCTTGTATATCAGTCCATTGCTTGTTTTTTCACCTCATATCTGTGGAAAGAAAAGTATTCTTTACTACTATAACATTTATCAAGTACCTGTACTATACAAACAAAAATATAACAAATTCGGGACCAGTATAATACAGTACTGTATTAACCTAAATTGTATTCCAGTGTTTGAGGAATAACTACCCAGTAGGTGAATACAATGAACCGATTGGGTTAGGTTAGTTTTTTGTAGTTGTTTTTAATTCCACATTTTCCCTCTACTTTAAAGCCCTTCCCACTTTTGGTGGGGGTCAAGATTGACAAGGTACGGAGGGTCATAACTCAATGATTTATACATTCCTCACACTCTCAATATCACCACTGTATTAGGGGTGAAAAAGATTTTGTTTTTCATGCCTAAATCACTTGAGTGTTTGTGGAATAATTACCCAACAGGGTCTCTGGAGTTAGCCTTAAATTACAGACACGATACAGAAAACTGTTAGATATCTTCTTCAGAGTACTCCATTAGTTATGCGACCACCTGAAGATTAGCCTCCAGATTACTTTAACTAAAGATTAACCGCCCTAATGCTCTCTTAACCTAACCTATTCCCCAGATAAAATAATCTGGAAGGAGCTAATCTTTATGTGATATGAGTTGTGAACTGTAGGTATAACCTGCAAGAGAATGTTGTGACAGCACCAAGTGTGGGCTCCTTTAAATCCACTTTCTACCAACGCTGGAACATGTTCAGGTACAGACCCAGGAGCACGTACATGACAACAGCCCGACTGTCTAATAAACTGACAATTGGCAAAGAGGATAAATTAACACAAACAGAATGCGGAATTGGTCTGTCCATTAAAAATCACACCTTCAACGTTATCTCCATAATATGTTAACCTTTATCGCGGGTGAGTATCTTTTAGCATAAAAAATCCCTGAGAACCACTACAAGACATTGACTATTCAGCCTACAGCAGCACACCTCTGCAGCCCCGCCTACATGAGGGCGTCAGTGGGCTATTTTATCACCCATCCTTACCTCCTTCCTCGTAAACTCACGTAAAGTACCTCACAACAGTTGCCTCTTGTACAATCTAGGTCTGTGTATTCATCAAGCAATATCGCCTCGTCTGTTATACGTAAAGGAATTCTGTGAACATCCAAACCTCAACCAAAGCGACATACCTGCCATGCATAACTCTTGCTTGTAAACAATAGCGCTCCCGCCCACTGCGCCCGGCGAGGCTCACTTCTACTGCGGCTGCCTCTTTACTACAGGGATCCCTTGGAAATTTTACTTTTTTTCCCATAGTATATAGTAATCAATAATTTTAAATCACAATTGAATTGACCTTACGACCTATATACTTAAATATTCACAAAATTATTATAGATAATGATTGTACTTTTCTTTCTTAATTGCACTTTGATGTAGCACGTTACGACTATATATTTACAAAATTGTTATACACCCATGAAGGACTTAAAATCCGTGTGTAGATCACGTTTGGCAGTGGTAACGTGTGTAACTCACCAGTATGTCAAGGGTTCGAGCCTCGGCCCGGACCGGACACATGTGAGAAGGGTGTTATCCAGTGTGACCCTACCAAACTTGACAGGTTTCCTCCTGTACTAACGTTCTTGCTGTTTATCCCAAATTTGCTAGCCCACACTGATTGGTCTTCAATTAGAATATGTATGTGAACCACTGACCCATATATACTGCTAATGAATATGATGTATTTCCTTCTTTGTGTACGAACCTCTGTCCTGCATGGCAGTGAACAGTGACATTACCCACATGAGTCTGACCTCTATACATATACAGCTGTTAATGAATATGATGTATTTATTTGTGTATGAACCTCTGTCCTGCGTGGCAGTGAGAAGTGATACCACCCTCAGTGTCAAGACCTGACTGAAATACTGTACTACAAGCTTTGCCAATAAACTTGTTAAACTTAAAAACTACTAACAATGCTTTTTACTTTTATCCTTTTCGCCACTGATCAGCTTGTTAGCTGCTTGATCGGTCGGTCACGTCTCTGATATGCACTGCGATCTACTGACCCCCGCACCCCTCTTGTCATCCCCACCCTTGGGATCTACTGCCCCCGTCATTCCTAGCCTTGGGGTCTACTGCCCCCTACCCTCCCCAGCGTTGGGGTCTACTGCTCCCCTACCATCCCCAGCCTTGGGGTCACCAGCCTTGGGGTTTACCTTACTGTACCACCCACTGTTGTCGCCAGCTTTGGAGTTTACGTACGGTACAAAAAAAATATGAGAGGAAACTGTATCACGTCTCTATCAGGATAGCCAAGATACTTCTATCAATCCGGATATAAACAGTGAATATTTGTGTACCACATTTATATCCTGATGAAGTAATGGTGAATAATTTTCTTAGAATTAATAACTGGAAATACTAGAGAGTAAAATAAATATAAAGTAGCGTTTAATTAATACATTTTATTACGTTTTTAATTGTGATAAAGATAAAAGTGTTCTGATAATTGAAATAATAAATAATAAAAGGTGTACGTAATGCGTATTTCTGCCCTGTTGTTGTTGTCAGTCACTTGTGTCTTCCTTATTCTCCCTTCCTCTTCCCCACTAGTCGGCCAGTTAGCAGCTTGGGTGGTCGGTCACATCTCTAATATGTACTGACTCCACAATGTATCTGTATTTGCGTTATTGTTAGTCAAGTGTGGTCTTGATTGAGCTCGCACTGTCACAACACTGGCAGGTTTTGATCTCACACCGTAAAACATTGCCAGAGTTGTGTTTGTGTTTTTAACTTGTGTCTTATTAAACCTGAGTAGATCATCTGCTAGTTCAAGGTATGAACACTCAAATAAGAAATGAGTAAATGTGGATCACACGATTAACACTAGAAGTTGTTCGATTTTGTTTATTTTTTCCAGATGTTCTTATCATTAAAATAATTATTTTAAAAGAGAGTTCATTTACGATTGTAGATAGAGAAAACTAAAATAAATAATAATAATATTAATAATAAAAAGTACTTACGGTACTCTAATAACACTGTGGGAAAACTGAATGAAATCGAACATTCCTTCAGGTGCTAGCCATCTGCTCCATTACAGTATTACTAAAGAATGTCCTCTGGGGTGCTTATTTAAATCACCCCTGTTAGTATTGAGAAAATGTACACTGTCGGTTGTATATATTATATGCTGTGGATACTTGTTCGGTTGTTGGTTAGGAGTTGATAGAATTTGTATGAAACTTTGTAGAAACGTTACTTACAATGAGAATGCACAGAATCTATTAGAACTTGACCTTACTTATAAGAAAAACTTTTCAAAACATTCATAATGACATTGAATGGATTCTCATTTCCATTTATGTAATTAATAGATTGTAATTAACGTTTCTAAAATGTTTCGTCTAATTCTATCAACCCCTTCTGGTTGTAGTAAAAAAAAACCTACCTAACCAACAACTGGACAAATATCCAGTGTATATTATACACATCTGAAATAGCCAAACCCAGATTGTGCATATTATGTGGAACATTTCCTTGCCTTGGGCAGGTGACTTGAATTTACTTGCCCGGATATCTATTTTACTTTCCCTAAAAATAATTTGAAGGAAATTTGCTTACTTGGATTTTTGTATGGTAAAAGTTAAATAAGCATCTTAAAGCTTGAATATTTTGCTTATGTATACTGTATACTCGCAGATCATTTGGGTCTGTCTAAATGGTGTCAGTGGCAGTAACCTTAGTCATGTGATAACTCCTGTCACCTTACCTCACATCAGCAGGGTGTGATCACAAAATACTGTACAGTACTGTATTTGTTAGCATGTAAATTACATGGGGGATGGGTTAATTGGTAGAGCCAATATTTTAAGTAAAAAAATATTAGCAAATATGCATAGGATCTCAGTAGGGTAGACACCACCATATACAGTATGGTCAATAAATTCTTGTTATATAAAAGTTTCACTTAAACTCCTGAAATATTCTACATCACCATCTACACTAATGCCTTGTACACTTAAGTTTATAGGACTTATTTCTATGAAAAGATACTTTATATTTAACATTTTGTGTGTGTGTCACAGCAGCTATGTCAGGTGAATCGCTGTCAGACTCTTGAGCAGGCTACTAATGAACACGGGGGAAACTTTGTTTTTATAGACTTTCTCTTTAATTTATTCCCGTATTTAGATATCAAATAGACACCAGTCAAATGTTAGTACCAAATACTCTTCACCTTGTTCTTGTAAAAGGTAGCTACTGTATTATTATTGGAAATAATTTAGTATGGTAATATAATTTTTTTTCAACAGATGGCATATGCTGTAATATACTTGAGAGAGGAACTGGTGACTTAGCCCATATGGATACTCTAGTCAGTGAGTACAGCATTCACTCCAGATGTGGCTTTCAGATAAGAGGCTCTTTGAGCATTGAAGTGTATCCAACAAATAGAATCTTGTGCTGTCAACAATAACTGAACCAGAGGAGTTAAGGACTGCCATAATCATTATGTTTCAGGTAAGTCTGACAATACCTATTTTATGAAGTATTGTATGTTTTTTCATGTGTAGTTAACTAAGGAAATGAGGTAACCATTAAATAATTGTTAGTACTGTACCTACTTAAGGGGAAACATTTGGCCCTAAGACTTAATACTGCACTAAACAATGTGCCAAGCATTTCCATCAAGTATTATTATTATATTAATGCATACATTATGTACTGGATGGATCAAAAGGTCATGTTTAAAAGTAGACTTAGTGATATACAACATAGTCAACAGTGTCATTTACTTCGATCATATATACTGTACAAGTTTTTATGATAATTAATACAGCCGATGAGATTTGGTACAATAAAGTTTACATACAACAGGACTGAGCGATGGATCAACCCTGTAAAATGACTGCAGACAATGAACTAAGCATGCCCTGATGCTAGGCTTGGGGGAGGTAATCTGTGAGATGCATCAGCCTATCACAGGTATCCCATGCAGTTATGTGACAGCATTAGCCAATCAAAGTGTTACCCAGGCAGTCTTCCCACCCACACACCGAGCACGTGAGGACCAGGGAGCATGATGCAGTCTTTCGTCACTCCTGGGAACCTTTGTCCCCAGGCCTGGAGTAGAAGAGTTTGGAGAGTTTTTCTCAGAATTTTTCAGGAAATTGCACTATATTTCATCCTCAGAATTTGTTCCCAGACCCGGTATAGAAAATTTTGGAGAGCTTCCAGAATTTTTCAGAATTACACATTACAGGGGGTCCTTGTTATCCGAGCTTAATAGGGACAAGAATAAAGACTCGGATAGTGATTCCAGATAAAGGGAAATAAATTTCCATAAGAATGAATAGGAATAGCATCTAATTGGAACATCACATTGTAAATGACACTCAAAAAGTTTATTTTGATATCTTTAACATTTATATACCTGAGAAACATTGTTAAACAGTTGATTACACATTATTTTATGAAATTATTTAACATTATAACTTATTTGAGGTACTTAAAGTTATTTGGGGTCAGTGTGTTGACACGACTTGGCTGTCTAACCATGCGGTCAGGCAACTGTGCACACATGTAATCGCACACTTACTCCAGTGAAAGTGGTTCACTGAGACACATTACAAAAATATTTTTAAAATAAATAATTTTAACATTTATAATTTTTTTTAACTTACCTTCAAAAGTAGAGATTTGAGCTTGATTGGCTGGATGAAGGTGGATGTTGGGATAGAAGGATTAGTCGGAAATTAAGAGACGGGCACGACTAAGTGGATTGTCTACTGCCATCTCATCATCATCTCTTTAAGGTGGTGGTCTTACACCAGAAGGACCTTGCGTTGGCTTGGAACTCATGGCTACAAAATATTCCACCAATGTCACCAAAGGAACAACAGATTAACAAAAAAGCCTTGGAGTACTTTCAGAACAAGTCTTGGCGATGCAGGCGACTATTACTGTACATGTATGATGCCACGCGGACGAGAAGGATGAACTTTGAGAGAATGGGAGGAGAACGAGAATTTCAAACACTTATGCTCTTGACCGACAGATTTCATCCGTGGAATCCTTTCAAGTTCGAGGAATTTTTATGTACTTTATAGTTTTACAGTAATTTGGGCTGGTAACTGCAGGTCCATGAATAATGAATGCTCGGATAACGAGGTCCCCCTGTATTTCGTCCTCGGAATTTGCTCCCAGGCCCGGAAAAAAAATTGGAGTTTCTGGAAGTTTTCTCAAAATTCTCTGGAAATTACTCATTACTTCATCTGGTATTTTCTCAGAAAGTTCACCTGATTTTCAACCTCAAAAACTTCTTTTTTAAGGAAAAATTTGAAGCCGATTTCAATTTCGGGTATTGGAAAGTTTCGGCTAACGGAAATACATGTATAGCCTGGGTTTTGGATGGGTTCCATTTCTGGAGGCTATTCATAAGCCGAATTATTCGGCACCACTTATTCCTCCCCACTAACACTCGGCTCTCCCCGCCACCATTCTGCCCTCCCTGCCACCACTCTGTCCTTTCTGCCACCACCCCCCTCCCTCGAGAACAGTTTCTCAGAGAACTATGTAAAAAATAAAGTGTAGGTTATTTTTGCAGCCATGGTAGTGAACCAAGGGACTCTCTTTATGAATTGTAATATGATAAACGAGCCCTACAGAACCTCAGCTACGCCAGTTGATTTCATACACTAGGAACCTCTAGTCTTCTTACATTAAGGGTCACAGCCTTAAGGTAAAGAAGCCACAATTATAGAAAATTGTTAGAGCTAATGTCTTGGGAGTAAGAATTATGAACTTGTAATAACCTGCCTGATAATATTGTCTCGGAACATTCCAAAAAATCATTTTACCCAAAATAAACTCTATTAATGACAGAATGTGAAATATGATCACACAAACATTAAAAGAGTTAACATGTTTGTCATGGAAATGTTGTCATGTACAGAAGTGACAAGGGAAGTGTGAGTTTCAATATGAAAATGAATGTGTTAAAACATTTTGAAAGGGACAAAGCTGTGGAAATCACTACAGCCATTTGCTCAATGTTTAATTGTGTCCTTTCTGAAGTTTTCATATTTTTTTGTCCAATATATATACAGTACAGTACAATATGTATATACATTTTTCATATATTTTTTAAACCTTTACTCCAGGTAAACCAAAATATTTCTGGATGATTCATAGTATTTCAGACATTTTTATATTTTATTCATCTGATTTTTTCTCATAAAAAACAATCACAAAACCTTAATTTAAAGTGAATCTCAATGTTAAACACCAGTTCTGACCTTATCTTTTGTTGTGGCTGAGCTCTGGGTTTACACTGTGCAATATAAAAAATGTGGGAGAGTAATTTAGGGCACCACATTATATACATATCATTGTATTATATCGGGGGTCTACTCTATTAAGGTCCTCAAATAGAACTTCTGAAATAAGTTTCTTCCTTTCTTGATCCACATGTGTTCTCATTCACTCTAAGTCCTGCTCTCTCCCCTGTAAATTTCAATGGGAGGAAAAGGTGTTCCACTCTTTTAATATTTATGACCATCAGAGTCACAGTATCAGCATAATGATATTAAACTATTTACTGTTACATTTTGCAGTTCTTTTCCTTCCATTGCCCCATAGACAGATATTACCGACAACTTAAATATGAGATAAAATAGAATTGTGGGTCACTTTTGTTAGATGTAGAGTATAGTACAGAAGTTCACATGCCTAATAGTTCTGTACTAGAATATTGAAGGTTGGATTCACATAAGTTTTTTTCAGGAATAGAACCTTTTATAAATTGAAGAATGCCTAAATACCTGTGTTTGATTTATTAATGATATTGAAGTTTATGTGACCTTGTGTAACACTGTAACCGGGCTGTATTTTATTAACTAATTTTTTTCATTACACAGTATGTAGAGGCATGTTCTCACAATTAATATTTGTTTATTTTATTTCATTTCAGATGTAACCACCACCCACAGATCCATTATACTGTACTGTATATGGTCATAGGACTTGAGACAATGGAGAAATATGAGTGTTCAGAGTGTGGCAAGAATTTTAAAAGGAAGTCTGCTCTTAAGCTACATTCTAATTCTCACAGGGGAGAGGAGCCTTTCATATGTATTGATTGTGGTGAAGAGTTTACTGGAGAAAGTACTTTTGCCAACCATGTCCTCCTTCACATACAGACAGAAGAGCAACCATACCAACAAGTTCCTTCCACAGGTGGTGCTAGGAAGAAGCCACATACAAATTATGACTGCCTTATTTGTAATGAGATTTTTCGGTGTAAGAGTAGGCTCAAAGATCATTATTTGGCACATGTAGAAGAAACACTATGCAGTTGCTACGTGTGTAACAAAAGCTTTGCGTCAAAATCTGATTTACAGATACACGTTCGGACCCATATAAAAGAAAAGCCTTACAAGTGTTCTATATGTGGTAAAGGCTGCCAAACAGAAGGTGAATTAGCTTTTCATAGTGTAATACATATGGAAGAAAAACGTTTTGAGTGTTCCATTTGTAAAAATAAATTCAGAACAAACTCTAAACTTCAAGAACATATTAGAATCCATACTGGAGAAAAACCTTTTCACTGCTCTGTGTGTGGGAAATCTTTCACAACAAATTCCAAGTGCAAACAGCATGTTAGGATTCACACAGGTGAGAAGCCTTTTGCATGTCATCTGTGTGGTAAGAGGTTTACAGCAGCAAGTAATCTAAAGACACATAGCCTTATTCATACAGAAAAGAAGCCATACAAGTGTTCAGAATGTGGTAAAGCTTTTTCTCAAAAGGGAAATTTGAAAAGTCATATCCTTATTCATACAAGGAAAAAAGTTTTTGAATGTTCAATATGTCATCAAAATTTTAGACACAGAGTCCATTTTACAAAACACTTGGCTATTCACAATAATGCTATCCAAAATGTTACTGGGAACAGTTTAATAACTCCAGATACAAATGATGTCAAAAAATTATTTAATAATGTTACAGCAATGAACACTGACATGAATGATGAAAGTGATGACATATCTGTTTCTGAAGACAAACAGATTGGTGAAAATAATGATATACATCAAAAAGAAGTTCTACTGAGTGATATATGCACTAAATATGACTGCCTAACAGAAAATGAATCAGATAGTCCTGGCTTGTTACCGGAACATGTGGAAGAAAAACGTTTTGAGTGTTGCACATGTGGGAAAAGATTCAGGTCAAATTCTAAACTTCAAGAACATGTTAGAATTCATACTGGAGAAAGACCATATGAATGTCCAATGTGTGGGAAGACATTCATTACCAATTCCAAGTGCAAACAGCATGTTAGAATTCACACAGGCGAGAAGCCTTTTGCATGTCATCTGTGTGGTAAGAGGTTTACAGTAGCAGGCAACCTAAAGACTCATAGCTATATTCATTCTAAAAAGAAGCCATACAAGTGTTCAGATTGTGGTAAATCCTTTTGTCAAAAAGGAAATTTGAAAAGTCATATCCTTATCCATACAAGGAAAAGACCTTTTGAATGTTCAATTTGTCATGAGAGATTTAGACATAGCAATCTTTTTAAAAAACACTTGGAAAACCATGATGCTCAAAATGGGGACATAACTAATAATAGTTTCACGCACCCAAGTGTAGATGATGTCAAAGAAGTTTGTGGTGGTGTTACACTGATGAACGTTAACATAAAGGAAGAAAAGTGTGAGTTCTCGAGTTTTGAAGATGAGCAGCTTAATGAACTTATCGAAAATAGTGAGATGCATAAAGAAGTTCTGGTAAGTGAAGTGTTCATAAAAGAAGAAAGTACTTATGAAGATGTAGTTGTTAAAGAAGAAGTAGACCCCCTAGAGTAATTTAGTAGTGTAGTTTAAGTTAGAGTGTAGCTAATGTTATAAATTTGTATTCCTTTATGATTTTGAAATTTGGTAATGTATGTACAGTACTGTATTGTGTTGGCTATACACTGTGTGACAGGTTGGTCCATGTGAAATTCAACTTGACGCCACTATCACCATCCTATGTTATACATGTAAACCATTTCCCAGGACCTAATAAAATTGTGACTGCTATTTAATGGTGCATTTACAACTAGTAAAAATTGGATTTTCAACTCCTGTACCATACATCTTGCCTGAAATAAAAGTAAGAAATGCATGCACAAATATGGGCGAGTGTATAATTTATGCAAATGAGACAAAACGTGTGCAGCCATCAAGTCTGCTATTTAACAAGTAAGGTTTCCTGGAACCTAACATATGTGCCTGCTAATTTCTGAAATTATTCAGAAAAATAGTCACTCTTTCCCAACACAACTCTGACTCCTTAAGAAAAAAAAAGGATGAAGGATGGCTGGGAAATACCATTGTCATCTAGACAACTATAGTGGGTTTTTATCCCAGCTAATAAAAGATGCCCCGCCCCCTCCTCAAGAGTTACAGCTGATTGGCTGTTCCAAATCTGTTCGATTTCGTCCTGAAGTAATGATGTATTTTTTAATGAGTTTATTCATAATCGTTGGAATGACCGTTTCTGTCGAGAAAGATATTTAGCTAAATTATATAGATACATACATTCAATATTTCAAACAGGAGCAAGTAGGAAGTTTATCAGAAATCTTATACATGAATTAACTGTTAAACTCTGGTAACAAATTGACGCTTTCGGAGGAAGCATTTGATATACAGTATATACTTATTTTTACCTACAATAAAGCATACTAAGACAAATTACATATCAGTAAAGCTAAATAATGCAAAAACTAACATTTTAAAAGATTAGAATCACACTGAAATATTACACGACCTCCGAAAATTGGTGGATGAGTGCGACAGACTTGGCCACTCGAGCGAACAGCCGTCAGCAGAGGCGGGAAATATAACTGAACAACTTCATATTTCAGTTTGATTCTGATCTTTTAAAATGTTAGTTTTTGCTCAGCACTAAAAAACGCACTCCTGTGCCACACTTACGCTCTATGACTCCATGGCCTTCCTGGTTATTCTGGTTGCTTACCGTTTCCTCTGACATAAATTTGGACACTTTTCTTGGGGCTTAACTGTTTGCCACAGTCCTACTGTAGGTGTTTGCCTTAATAGATGAGCTTGTTACATTACAAGAATGTTTACATTTGCTTAATGACCTGATCAGTAGTTTGCTGGCATGCTAGTACAGTACTGTACTGTAAAATCAATAAACAATGTGAAATTCTGTTTCTTACTCAGTATTGAAGCAGAGCAAGACTTGATTTAATGTCATAGGTTATGGAAGGCCTCTGCCCAGACAAGAGTTCTGGAAACAGTGACTTGAAAAACTGACTACATAAACAAAGAATTTGCTAAAGATATTAAAATTTGAGGACAATGATGCATAAAGTTCTGCCTTGGTTTGAGAATGACTATTTTCAGTTCTGGACATGTGAGAGATGCAACTTATGAAACCTGAATCATCTACTGCCACCCCATATAAAATCTACTTTACAAACCTCCATAAGATGTGGAGTGAAGGTGTAGAACAATACACAGTATGCTGTACTGTCTAATTACTGAAATGTTGGTCACCTTTATTCTATTGAGGTACAAAAAAATATTATTTCATTGTGGTACGAAGACCATGATGTCATAACTACTGATGGTCAAGCTTCGGGAGCAGCCGTCCAGAACATGATAGTCCCTAGGTCGAGCTTGTGCAGAAAAAAAATCTAGGTAGGTGGGTAATATTTGATTACCTCAGGGAGTTGTGACCTTTCGCCAGCTAACAAGACTCTTGGGTGTACAGTACTATGTATAATGGACAGTTCCTTCTCTGTAAAAGTGAGTTGGCAATGAGGTCACCATACCATTAGGTAATCTTGGCTGTCCCACACAGGCATTGTAAAAACTATAACACGGTGATGATGTTTACCTCTATCGAGAATATATATTTTGTCATTATGGTCAGAAATTTTTTATTTTATTGTTTTATAACCATGTCATTACAGTACAGTACAGTACTTATGTTGTAAAATAAAAACAAATATTTATTTGAAAACTTGGTAAACAGTTTAATGTGTATTTGTTAAATACTAAATTATATTTAATAATTTTCTTCATGTAAGTGTATTCATCAGGTGCCATTCAAGAGAGTTACAGCTCTTAAAGGCTCAGCCATGTCCATATTGTTGTTACTGTGCAGTTTGTATCTGTAAAATTCTGGCCCAATAAACTGTTTCGATTCATTTCATTTATTTTTGGAATTTCTTTTGCAAAATGTGACTTAAAGTTAGGAGTTTTCCCTTTCTTGTGTGGCCTTATGATTGTATTATAAGTGCATACTGTATTACTTTTTGGCTTATGATTGTAGTATAAATATAGTATAGTGTATCATAATCTGAGTAAGGCGCATGGACCATACAGAATACCCCTAATGTTCTGAGGGAGTGTGCTGAAATTTTTACCCCCGTTCTTGCTCGCCTCTTTTGCCTTTGCCTCAAAACCCTAGCCATCTTCTTGTCATGGACTGGAGGAATGAAACCTCACCAAATGACCTTAATAATCCCACTAGTCTTTTTGTAGAAACTCTGAGAGAGACAATTTTCAATTCCTACATGTTTACAATCCGACTCACTACAGAGGGCAACATCTAGCCCCTGTTGGCACCAGCCATCATGTGACTTTATCTTTCAGGTTTAACTGTTATTTGGTTCATCATAAGCACAGGCCAAGGTTCAAATATTACAAGGGTGATTATGATGGGATGAAGGAGGAGATGAAGGGTATCTGGCTTGACTCACTGAGAAACAAGAATGCAGACACTACACAGAATATCATAACCAGTAAAGTGAACCAACTGATTGATAAATATATATATACATTACTCAAGACTAAACCCACCATGCAGTGGTTTACAGAGTTAAAAAAAAATCTCAGAAATTCAAGAGGTGGGTTATGACAAATGATGAGCAGGTCCAAGTCCAGGAACCAACCCAAGTCAGAGTGCAGAAGGGCTGAAAAAGAGTTTCAGAGGTAGATTGCAGGCAAGGTCAAGTCAAACCCAAAGGCTTTCTACCATTACACAAAATCAAAATTAAAGACGTGTTGGTGAATCAGATCTGAAGCTTGAAGATGGTACCTGTAGTTACGCAGAGTTGGATCAAGACAAGGCAAAGGCGTTAAACAAATTATTTTCCTCAGTGTTCACAAAAGAGGATGAGAACAATCTTCCTGCATTTGAGGATAGATAGTTTAACACAGTGCTGATGCACATTTTGTTCTCAGAAGAGGATGTAAAAGAAATAAACTGTCAAAGTTAAAAGTTCATAACAGCCCTGGCTCTGATATTGTGCATATAAGAGAGTTGAGCAACAAGCTTGCTAACCCCCTTAAGATCCTGTTCTGTAGATGTCTTGATGAACAAAAGGTCCCCAGTGACTGGAAAATGACTTTTTGAGTCCTATATTTATAGCAAGGCGATTGCCACCCCAGGAGTAATTATTGGCCAGTGAGCCTGACCAGCATAGTGTGATAGGCACTAGAGAGCATTATAAAAGATGCCATGATGGAACACCTACTACAAAACAACCTTGTAAAGGACTGCAAACACTGTTTTATGCCGGAACTCTCCCGCCTGACACAATTACTCAAGGTGCTGGAACACTGTGGCAATATTAACAACATACTCGTATATATCTGGACTTTTCCAAGGCTTTCGACAGTGTACCCCATGAAAGTTTGAGAATTAAACTGGAAGGGTACAGGATTTGGGGAAGTATCCTTAGATGAATCAGAGACTTTCTTCATGACTGCACGCAGTGTGAGATGATTAATAGCACAAAATTCTCAGGTGTACCCATGACAAGTGGGGTACCACAGGGAAGTGTACTGGGTCTTTTGTTGTTTGTTTGTCTCATAAATGACATGCCAGAAACTACTGTATACTCATCTCCATACAAATGTTTGTGGATGATGCAAAGTTATTCAGGGAAATTAAGAACGGACTGTGTAGAGCTATAGAAAGATCTCTGTCACCTTCAAGGGTGGTCGAAAGAATGACTGCAAAGATTCAATGTTGCAAAATGTAAGAGGGTGCACCTCGGTCGTACCAATGGCAAGGAGGCGTACTGTAGCACCTTTCCCAACAGGATGAAGAAATAGCATTAAAAGTGACCAAATGTGAAAAAGGCCTGGGTGTGTACGTTGACAATGAACTGAAGTTCTCTGGGCATTGTGAGAAGAAGATGAATCAAACAACTAAACTAGAAGGTCTTACAAGAAGGTCATTCAGATATGTAGACTCTGTCCCTCTTAATGCTCTTCTAGAGTGAGGTGCTTCCCTGTTTGGAGTACTGTCACCCTCTCTGGTTTCTGAGATATGCTAGACTCTGTCAGTTGATTGAAAATGTCCAAAGGAGGGCCACCAAACTATGGCACTTCAGTTACCCAGAGAGATTAGAAAGTCTGCAGTTGCCTAGCTTATACTATAGGCAGGCAAGGGGTGACTAAAATGAAGTTTATAGCACCTCAGATGGCATTATTTAGTCGAGGGTTCCGATCTGGAGTTTTAATGTCAGGATTTGACTTCCTTCCATCTCCTGAAGACAGCCAGGTGTAATCACATACCCAAAATCACACCACTTAATTAGGGTGTAGTTTCAGCACACGTCACTTCTGACCATCCTTGACCACCGAAGGGTCAAGACGTACTTGGCGCTCTTCTCGGAGCAGCCAGGTCAACTGTTAAGTTGGCCCATACCAACCCCTTCCCCTGAACCCTCCTCCCCACCGGAATATCAACAAGTTCTCGCCAGAAGTTACAATTTCATTTAGGAAAGGAATGGAACCAGTGTTAAACAGAGGTGAACAGTGGTGAACAGTGCTTAAGTCAGTGAGAACAACTCAACAGTAACAGTCGTACCCAAGATAACCTTCACACAGTGAGGTCCCAGGTACCCAGTGATAACGGCCCGTGATAACCAGCGATGTGTTAATCCGTCTACGATAGGAAGGCCTGGGACCAAACCTCACTCATATAACACCATCTGTGAGGGAATTACTACACCACATGTCCCTCATAACACCATATGTGAGGGAATTGCTACACCACGTCAAGTCCCTCATCACACCATCTGTGAGGGAATTACTACACCACGTGAGGACCCTCATAACACCATCTGTGAAGGAATTACTACACCACGTGAGGCCCCCTCATAACACCATCTGTGAGGGAATTACTACACCACGTCAGGTCCCTAATAACACCATCTGTGAGGGAATTACTACACCACGTGAGGACCCTCATAACACCATCTGTGAGGTAATTACACCACGTGAGGTCCCCCATAACACCATCTGTGAGGGAATTACTACACCACGTGGTCCCTCATAACACCATCTGCGAAGGAATTACTACACCACGTCAGGTTCCTCCTAACACCGTCTGGGAGGGTGTTACTACACTACGTATTTGCTGTTCAACACGTACAATCCTACATTAATTTGTATGTTCACTGTATGTTCCTTTACCTTTCTCTAATGAAGGCTTTTGTTAAACCACCAATGTATGTAATAAGTTATTTATGTCCAATGTATATTTTCAGCCTTCGGGCTGCAAACTTTTTCAATAAACCGTTAATTATTATTATTTTATCATGGATTGACGGTGTGGAAGGGACTTGAACGGGGGTGGCAATTAGCATAAGAGTTCCTGCTTGTACCCCTGTATAACCAATTCCTAGAAGAGAGTCCTGTATTTATGCACCAAGTGTTTGACTTCCCCTGTACACTTAACAAAAAAGTAGTGAATAAAGAAGTACTGACAAGGTAAGAAAAGAGAACAGCACCTACAGAAACTACCAGATTACTTGGGGCTACTACACAGTTTACACCTCTACAGTGTACATACAACCAGACATATTACTACATCATCCATGGTCCCAACATGTATGTATGTATGAAATATACATATGTATGTATGTAGCCAATGCATTTGTTTTATACTGTGTGTGCGTACTGATTTGCAAGTGTCACATAGACAGGCAAGAACCCAACTCACGTTAAAATTTTGTTTCTTTGAAGGACACACGTAAAATGAATCATATTTCATGGAGCACTATTGTAGTTTACATTTAGTTGAGGTAGAGTTTCCGACCTTCTGAGACATGACCAGGTAAATATAATAGTAAGATTTAATGATGCAGTGGGTTTTAGTGTAAATTATTTTCTAGAATATCATAGAAAATAAATCCCTTACATAATCTAATTCATATCTAAAGAAAAAATGATTGTGTGAAAAATATTTCAAGGATACTTTAAACGGTTGAGATAAGATATAAACTGAAGAGGTTAGACAACACTGTCAACACACAGAGGGTATGGTCACCATGGCAACAGTGGCAGTGTTGGATAGTCAGGGTCCACGAGTGGGTCTCAATTGTTGTTTGAAAGGCGAGATTTATTTTTCTCAAGAGTCATATGCTGTACATAAATACAATACTGTATGTGTATTACACCACATCATTAAGCTGACAATCTAAAGTTAGATCCAAAATTGCTTAAAGGTACCAAGTGTGTGAGTAAGAACCCAACAACCTTTATACTGTACACATCAAGGTCTTTCAGAAACACACATCACTTATCATTTACCATATCTCATGCTTCGTACATTGTTACCATTTTGTATTACTATCACTCCATCCTTCCCAATACAGCAATACACTGTAGCACTATACTGTTTTATTCTTCTGTTTATGTACACGACATCAACACATAGTCAGCCTTGGTTACCTTATCGCCAGACTTATGCACATTGTTTGAGGTTGGCTGTAGACTTCTCCTATGCCTCCTTCCCTGCCATCCCTTACCATGCTGTGGTTCAACCTTTCCACTCTCTTATTTTTTAAACTCTCCCTTTTCAACTCTCAATTTTTTATATCAATAAGTTTTATGAATCATCTGGAGTGGTCACACTAGATAAATAAAATATAATATTCACCTCACTTGCCATTATGTACTACTAGCCACACTGCTCTGGTCATCAACCCCGCCTCTTTTGATTCACTTTTTTTTATTACTTTTCCGTAAACCTTCAACGTTATCAAAGCAGATATTGGTAACAGAGTATCTAAAGCATACACATACGATGTTTATTGTCAGTGTAATGACCACGGTCTTACACGTCAGTTAGCGCCAAAATCAAATGATTCATATTACGCTTAATAGCCCACAAAACATGTAACTCGGCTTTCGTTTGAGTCCTCCATCTGAGGAGTCCGTTTTCTCATCACTTCAAGACACCTCAGTCCTCCGTTATCCCATTTTCTCTGACTTACTGAAACCAACCTCTCTATAAAATGAATTTGAGTGTGAGAGAGAACACCCTTGTTTTGAGTCAACTTAGATATGTCTGTTTACAGTTGGAACATTCAAGATCCATTGTGAGTGGGGTAGAATGCTTCACCTGTCCTTATCGTTAGTAGAACGTGTCAAGTAAGTGAGTGTCGAGTTTGCCAGCTAGAGTGGCGTATTTTATGTCGTCCGTGGGGGTATCCATGAGTTTCTGATCGCGCCTGAAGTTATATCATTTTGTCGCCCCGACATCAGAGAATCTGATGTTTATAGTTTAATTAGGGTCAGTTGTCTATTTGAGAAAGTCATTAATCTCCTGAACTATTCTGTCAACTGGTATAATCTCCAAGATCTAGGCCTCCCCGTGAATAGCCCCTTGTTCGCCTCAGGCCTGAGCTTGCAGAATTAATGTTATCGACGTGTATATTCCACCTTTTCCTGGCAAGCTCAACCTCTGATTAGATTATATGAATAGACAGGAAATTACCCTGATCAAGAACACCGGAGTTCATAACTAAGTATACAGTGATCCAAAATGATAGAGAAGTTATGTTGTTGGTAAGATCGACCCTTCTGGTATGAATATGGAGGCCCAAGCTGCCCAGCAGGTGCACATATATACCTCTACACGAGGGAGAATCACGCATTCGTGACTTCCTCAACGTCTCTCCAGGTATGTTAACGTGTGTTCCCGCCGCCTATTAATTCAGTTTAACTTAGTCAATTTTGGTGAATATCAGTGCTCATGTGTTAACATAGTGAATTCTGTGCCAATTAAGTCGAGTAACGTAGAGATTTAGATATTGTCTGAACCGTTGCCAGGCGTATGTTTTGTATAGTTGAAGTTAGGCCTTTAGGCATTCGTGACTTCCTCAACGTCTCTCCAGTGTGTTGAGCTGAATACTCATCGGCTAACGTGGGGCGGTAACCGGGTTGGACGATGCCGTAATTCGACAGGACTGAACTGGGAAGTCCGTTTCCTGCAAATCAGGCGCCCACTCCCTGAGCGTGTGTCGGTCTACGGGCCGTATTGATAGTCATTACGACGATAATGACGATCACGATCATCATCTCGATGATCGTGTGTCGGGATGCAACCACCCAACGCTGAGTGCCATATTCCTAGACACTTACATGAGCGTGTCAACACGGCAGCTCGTGTCGGATAGCAAAAATTTTTTTGGCCATGCGCGACTGCCAAATGTATTATTTCACATAATTAGAAAGACGATTTAGAGAGACATTTAGTTGTTAATTTAAACCGGCACAATAATATATTGTATAATATATTTTTTTAATAAAATTGATCTTTATTATTTGTTCGAAACAAAAAAGATAATTTTCTTCATCTGAGTACTTGGCAACAATGTTTCCGCGCGTGTTATCAAACATGGAGGTAGTAAGAGAACGTTCTGCAGCTCTGTCTGAAACCCAACACATGTTCCTGTCTCACAAGTCAATGTTCCTGCCTCACCAGTCATTGCTCCTGCCTCACCAAACATTGCTCCTGCCTCGGCAGTCAATGCCCCTGACTCACTATCGAGTGATATTGCCTCACCCCCTCCTGCTCATGCTTCCAACCAACACCTTTATTCAGTGTCCAGGGCATCTGGTTCTCGGCCAAGGAGCAAACCAAGGCGAACTAGGAGGGTGACAAGTATCTATGAAATGTGTGATAAAAGACAAGAAGAGTTACATAAATCTAAGTTGTACAGATTGAATAGGGAGCATGAGGAGGAAATGAAACTGAAAAAAGAAATGATGTTAACACAAAAACTACAACAAACTGCAATTGAAAAGACACATGAAAAATTGAATAATTCTTTGGATTTGTTAGATAGTGTTTTAAGGAAAGCAGGAGCTGCATATGATGCCATGGCTAAAACATATGAATGATGTTGTAATATTTCAGAAATTGGCATCTAAAGTAAAAGTTATTCGTTCTATTTCTTACATATTCAACTAATTTTATTTGAAGGAAATAAACATATATGTGTTTATTTTGACAAAGGTTTTTTTGTTTAAAAAGCTGTCATAAGTATGGCAGGTAATTAATTGTGGGGGGGTGAATATTTATAATATACATAAAGGCTGTGATTTTCAAAATTTGAATTTATTTCCTGTGATAAAGAATAAAGTTTTGTTTGGTGTATACAGGTATTCATAAGATATGTTATACTGTGCAAAGTACTGTACAGAGGATATGTTTCTTTTATTAAATTTTATGCATTGATATAAATAGCTGTAGAGAAGGAGTGAACCATTTCTTTTTGTGCCCAAGATAGAAATATTTTCATGTCAGTTACAAATATTGTCCAAAGTATGGCAGTTAAGATTTATTTTTATATATCTATAATATAAGCTGTGAATTTCGGGAAATGCAGAACTATGTATAGAAAAATTATAGTTTATTTTCTTAATTTTTACACATTTATAAAAAAAATAAATGTATATTTCTTTCCTTTTGTTGTCTTCATAAAACCTCACAGGTGAATTACCTTACATATTGAGTTATGCTCCATTATTAAAGACCACAGTGAAGTAAAAAAAACTATATTACTGGGCCAAAAACTGTGATATTTTCCTTGCTAACTCAAGATAGAGTGAGCTCACTTGGCTTGCCTCATTCCGGAAAACATAAGTGTATTTCCCGGTTCAGATGGTTGAAATTTTATTACTACTACGACAAAAATATTGTATGAATGAATAAAGATAAGAAACATAACTTAAATGATAACAGAAGTAATTGTTAATTGAAGATGAGGCTCACAGTACAGACAGCAGTAGGAGCTGTGATGTCAACATTCCAATAATGTTTCAAGTTCATAACAGTGTTGTGAAAGTTCATTTATCCGTATTAACACTTCTTTTAATTGTTCTTATCAAAAAAAATAAAATAATTCGACGTAGACATCTGTAATATAAAGTACTGGAAGAACTTTCATAAAATATAATGATTATTATTTGTCGTAAGGCAGCTATCGGGTGGGGGTAGCCACCCGATGTTGTTTCCAACATTTCAGGGATATGCGTACGGTTCCCTTCCGATACCTCGTTTATCGGGATGACTATTAATAGACCAGCACGAACACTATCAATTGGCATTGTGCTTCGTAATGACTATCAATCCGGCCCTACAACCGACCCCTAACAGCGATCTTCATTTGTTGTAGAGACCAGCGTTACCCTGGGGCACTCCTCACAGTTACATAGGCCTAAGTATTATGGTATCTTGTTTGGGGGATAACTAGCAGAAATATAGTATCCCAGGTTAAGTATTGAACCACTGAATGAGAGTTAAAAGTGCCATGTTGTTCCTTGTGAATTAACAGGAGGTATTGTATGTTGAGATAATTGTGGAGTTGTCCAGTGTGCTATGTATTCATTGGTAGTGACCATGAAATGATAATCTGAGAGTATAATGATATAACCAAGAAGTGAAGAGTTAATTTGCTACTTGGTAAGGTAAGACCTGAGGGTCCAGTGATATCTGGTGTATACCTTTTTTACTTTTATCCTCTTCGCCACTGATCGGCTTGTTAGCCGCTTGGGCGATCGGTCACGTCTCTTTTCCTTTATATTCTTCACCAAAAGGTCGGCTCGCTAGCCGCCCGGGCGATCGGTCACGTCTCTGTCACGCACTGTTGGCAAATACTGGGCATGCACCGGCTCCTGAATGTACCTGAACCCGCTCCAGTGTTGGTCAAGTCTTCTCTTGAAAGAGCTCACACTCGGTGCCGTCACAACACTCTCTGGTAGATTGTTCCAAGAGTTTACAACCCTCACTCCGAAAAAGTTTGCCCTCACGGTTTTCTGGACTTGCGGCTTCTTCAATCTTGAGCTGTGACCCCTTGTGGGGCGAGCGTCCGCCAGCTCCAAGTAAGGACACTCAACTGAGTAGTGCCCCCTGAGATGCTTATAAACCTCAACTAGGTCCCCCCTTGCCCGTCTGTAGTATAAGCTAGGCAAGTTCAGGCGCTCCAATCTCTCAGGGTAGCTGAGATGCCGAAGTGCAGGCACCAGTTTGGTGGCCCTCCTTTGAACATTTTCAACCAACTGACAGTCCCTAGCATATCTCGGGGACCAGATGGGGTGACAGTACTCCAGATGGGGAAGCACTTCACTCCTGAAGATCGTCACGAGGGACGGACCGTCTAGATATCTGAACGACCTTCTTATAAGACCCAATAATTTATTTGCCTGATTTACCTTCTTCTCACAATGGCCCGAGAACTTCAGCTCATTGTCAACATACACACCTAGGTCCTTCTCACACACAGTCTCAACTAGTACATTTTCTTCATCCCGTTGGGACATATGGTACGCCTCCTTACCGTTGGTACGCCCCAGGTGCATCCTCTTACACTTCGTGACATTGAATCTCAGCAGCCATTCCTTCGACCATTCCTGGAGCCCACAGAGGTCCTTCTGCAGCTCTTCACAGTCCGCTTGGTTCTTAATTTCCCGAAATAACTTGGCGTCATCGGCAAACATTTGTATGGAGGAGTGTACAACGTCAGGCATATCATTTATGAAACAAACAAACAACAGCGGGCCCAATACACTACCCTGCGGTACCCCACTTGTTACAGGTACAGATGACGATTTCGTGCCATTAATCACCACACATTGCTTGCGGTCATGTAGAAAGTCTTCTATCCACGCTAGGACATTTCCCCGAATTCCGTACCCTTCCAGTTTGATTTTCAGCCTTTCGTGGGGTACACTGTCGAAAGCCTTGGCAAAATCTAGGTAAATATTGTCGATATTACCACCCCGTTCTAGAATATGGGTCCAAATATCCAATACCTTGAGCAATTGTGTCAAGCAAGAGCGCCCCGGCATAAAACCGTGTTGGCAATCTTTTACAAGGTTGTTTCGTAGTAGATGTTCCATCGCTGCATCTCTGATAATACTCTCAAGTACTTTACATATTATGCTGGTCAGGCTCACCGGTCTATAGTTGTTCGTGGAGTGCCTATCGCCCTTCTTGAAGATAGGACTCACATAAGCCACTTTCCATTCACTGGGGACCATTTGTTCATCCAGGCATTTACAAAACAGAATCTTCAGGGGCTCTGCAAGCTCGTTGCACAGCTCCCTTAGCACTCTAGGATGCACCATGTCAGGTCCAGGACTCTTATGGACCTTTAGCCTGGACAGTTTATTTCTAATACCCTCTTCTGTGAACACAATGTGGGTCAGTGCTGTGTCGAACCGTCTGTCCTCAAACGCAGGAAGGTTAGTTGCATCCTCTCTTGTGAACACTGAGGAAAAGAAGCTGTTCAATGCCTCAGCTTTATCCTGGTCAGAATCTGCGTAACTACCATCTTCAAGCCTCAGGTCTGATACTCCTACTCGCGTTTTCAATTTCGACTTTGCATAGCGGTAAAACGCCTTTGGGTTTGACTTGACCTCGCGTGCAACCAGCCTTTGGAACTCCTTTTCAGCCCTCCTACACTCTATCTTTGCTTGGTTTCTGGCTCTTGCATACATCCTCCTGTCTTGCTCATCGTTTGACCCAACCCACGTCTTGAATTTCTGGGTTTTCTTCTTAATTTTGTCGACCGCCGCATGGTTCATGTGTAGGGATCCCCTCGTATTCCTAGAAGCACTGGGTTTGGTCTTGGGTATATATTTATCGATCAAATGGGTCATTTTACTAGTTATGATATTCAGCGTAGTGTCTGCGTTCTTGTACCTTAATAAGTCAGGCCAGTTGATACCCCTCATCTCTTCCCTCATCCCATTGTAATTTCCCTTGTAATATTTGCACCTTGGCCTGGCCTTATCTTGAACTAGGTAACAGTTAAATCTGAATGACAACACTGTATGGTGACTGGTGCCAACTGGGGCAAGGTGTTCCAGTTTGGCCACCATACCCTCCTCGTTTGTTATGATGAGGTCAAGTGGCTTGGGTGTTTGCTCCCCTCTGTAATGTGTCGGGTCTCTCACATGTTGGAACAGAAAATTATCTCTCAATTGTCGATTGAAGTAATAAGTATTTGGAGGTATTTAATGAGGTAATAAGTTCTTGAAGTGTTTGATGACTTAAGAAATAAATTGCAGTTCTGCTTTGTCTGAGTGAATCTAAGATGCATCTTATCCAATCACTGTGTTAATAAATATTGAATTAGTAATCTACGTCTACGAGTATCACCACTCTATCCTTTCCCACATTGGTTCTCAGAAAATAACTAACTCACGTGCCTAGAAGCTCGCTACCTAACAGTTAACTAAGAGATGTTATATTCTAGAAAAATCCTGGGTGGTGGCAGGCTACCGTTGTAAGTATAATAAGTGTGGTAATAACAAAGACATGGTTTCCCAGGTTAATCCATGGTTTAGAATATAACTAGAACCAAATATATGGAAGAGATTATAATATATGAAAGGAAATGAAAAGAAAGAACATTGACTTGGAAAATATAAGCAGAGAAGCATACAAGCTACATATATAAGAATATAAGGTATATAGAGATAAAGAACATATAAGAATATAAGCAAGAATATATAAAAGTAAGTATGTATGTAAAGAAGTGAAGAAGGATAAGTATATAAAACCGGATACTCATTGAAAAGAATAGCTGGATGGTAAATTATTGAAAAGAGAAAACTCGGCCCGTTACATCAGAAGAGAGAGATGCCAATAATCTACAGGTATTAAGAGGAGCTAAATGCCTAGTATATCTACTCTGAAAATATAATTGAGACAGTTACTATGGAACGTCGCTGGTATGAGATTTATCTTCACAGTGTCGGGAATCTTTGGATGTCTACTATGTCCAATACTGGATAATATTTGCTGTAGGATATCAGAATTATAGTAGCATGAACATATTATACATTTATATTTAATGCTCTTCATAATATCTGTTATAGGAGTTATACAAAGAACATGTAGCTTCTTAGCTTTGCAATATGTATAACAAATGCTCTTTCATAATGAATTCTATGCTTGTTGCATAGAACGGTGAGCCAAGAATCTACAGGAACACAGTAATTGTAATGTCACTTGATTATGTACTGTAATTGTACTCTGCTTATTGCATACTTATGTTATCATTTATAGGATATAGAAATCATTGAAACAATCCAGGTAGATGACACTATATACAATATATTACTGTAATAGGATTCTTCCCCTCCCAGCATCATCAACATTTACCCTCCTTGGCATTGACTAGATCAGGTTCATGAATACTTCTGGCCTCTGTCAGAATCTCTTCCACACTTCCCGTGATGTTTATTCAACTGCTTATCGGTTACTAACATCCGCTTTCCATTCCCTACTCACAATGACCCTAAGATTTTCAATAGGATTTATACCACATCCTTTTGTAGGCCACTCAAGCACCTCAATATCTGGGTGGGCATAAAACTAGACTTTGACAACATTGCTTGTGTGTATAGGGTATCTTTCCTAAACCAAAATGACTTTGTGGCGAAGGGAAGGTTAAGGTGTGAACAGTAGATAGCAGCACTCTCTCTAATATTCTAAGATACTGTGCACCTGTTAAGTTAGGATAGGTGTTTAACTGTACATGTTATGAATTACCAATATAGAATCAAAACCAGCTATTGAATATGCTTGCAATGTTTCAGCTTTTGATCATGACATCCATAAGAGGTTGTGGTAAGCTTCTGTTGACTGGACTACACCCCAGGTTATGTCTAGCAGCAACGGCTCTGCAGGCTCGAGGAGCAGCAGAAGCAACATCAGCAATGACACAGGTACAACCGCTCCCTGCCTCCCAAATCCCGGGCCCCAGACGGTGGCCTGTGTTAAGGTCCCTGCCAGCAATGTACCGTCACAGATGTTAGTGTCTACATTTTGTCATTGTTTTTATTTTTTGTGCCTCTGGGTGTGGTTCTATATTACAATGGTTTATTGGTCTGACAGTCTATTTTAACATAATTTAAATTAACCTAATCCAGCTCAGCCTAGTTTAATTTAACCAAACCTAACCTAACTTGACCTAACCAAACTTAACCTAGTATAATATAACTGACCCCACCCTAAGTTAACCTAATCCAACCCAAATTATTACACCTGAACTTACATAGCCCAACACAACATAACTTAGTATAATTTAACCCAACCTAGCCCAACCCAATTAAGTGTTATTCAACCAAACTTGGCTTCACTTAACATTATTTAACAATACCAACCATAACCTAGCTTACCCCATCAAAACACAGCCTAACCAACATTTCATATAATGCAACTTTGTCTAACCTAACCAACTTTAACCTAACAAGCTAAAATAATACAATCCAAGTTAACGTATCCTAAACTAAAACACATCTAAACTAACGCAAGCTCAATTCAATGCAAAGCAGCCCAACCTAACCAGACCTACTCCAGCCTAACCAAACCTGACCCTCGAACTCTTAAGAACTATAAACACAGATATATACAGCATTTCGATATATTTCTCTTAGAAACTAAACACGGAAACAACTTTTCAGTATTTGAAGCAGGTCATCACAACACGATTTGGGAAGCTTTGTGTGAGCAGTATGGCCCTATCTTCCGAGTGGACCTCCCTCGCCAGCCTCCCACGGTGTTCATCACTGACGCAGATGAGGTGTCACATCTCCTAAACCAGACTGCCAAAAACCCTGTAAAGCCGCCAACTGAAGCTTTACGCCTGCTCAGGAATTCTGACAAGAACAAGTTTGTACCTGAAGAGCTAGGGCTGTTAGTCGAGTAAGTACAGTGCTCTCTCTCTCTCTCTCTCTCTCTCTCTCTCTCTCTCTCTCTCTCTCTCTCTCTCTCTCTCTCTCTCTCTCTCTCTCTCTCTCTCTCTCTCTCTCTCTTCCTCTCTCTCTCTCTCTCTCTCTCTCTCTCTCTCTCTCTCTCTCTCTCTCTCTCTCTCTCTCTCTCTCTCTCTCTCTCTCTCTCTCTCTCTCTCTCTCTCTCTCTCTCTCTCTCTCTCTCTCTCTCTCTCTCTCTCTCTCTCTCTCTCTCTCTCTCTCTCTCTCTCTCTCTCTCTCTCTCTCTCTCTCTCTCTCTCTCTCTCTCTCTCTCTCTCTCTCTCTCTCTCTCTCTCTCTCTCTCTCTCTCTCTCTCTCTCTCTCTCTCTCTCTCTCTCTCTCTCTCTCTCTCTCTCTCTCTCTCTCTCTCTCTCTCTCTCTCTCTCTCTCTCTCTCTCTCTCTCTCTCTCTCTCTCTCTCTCTCTCTCTCTCTCTCTCTCTCTCTCTCTCTCTCTCTCTCTCTCTCTCTCTCTCTCTCTCTCTCTCTCTCTCTCTCTCTCTCTCTCTCTCTCTCTCTCTCTCTCTCTCTCTCTCTCTCTCTCTCTCTCTCTCTCTCTCTCTCTCTCTCTCTCTCTCTCTCTCTCTCTCTCTCTCTCTCTCTCTCTCTCTCTCTCTCTCTCTCTCTCTCTCTCTCTCTCTCTCTCTCTCTCTCTCTCTCTCTCTCTCTCTCTCTCTCTCTCTCTCTCTCTCTCTCTCTCTCTCTCTCTCTCTCTCTCTCTCTCTCTCTCTCTCTCTCTCTCTCTCTCTCTCTCTCTCTCTCTCTCTCTCTCTCTCTCTCTCTCTCTCTCTCTCTCTCTCTCTCTCTCTCTCTCTCTCTCTCTCTCTCTCTCTCTCTCTCTCTCTCTCTCTCTCTGTGTGTGTGTGTAGTAACAATAAACTCTTGTAGAATCTCACATTAAGTTGATTTACGTAAAGAAGCTAACATTTCCATTTAGGTGAATTGACAATAATAATCAGTGAGACTGGGATCACCAAAAGATTAGACACCTAAGCTTAAGTCACCAGATGATTAAACACCCTAATGCCAATCTAACCCTCGAAGTCTAATCTTCAGCTGATCCGTAAACTGTGTCCTTTGCCTCAGAATATTTTAGTGTTGCCTCTGGCCAAAAATAGTCTGAAGATTTTGCTGTAATGGTTTTTATCAAGTTTCGAAAAGAACCATCCACTACACTAAAAGACAGATGAATGAATTTAATCTTTAAGCTAATCTTTCTTACCTAACCTAACAAGCCTGTCCATTTATTTTGTAATCTGTAATGAACAAAAGGAGAGACTGTACACTTGAGGTTGTGGCCTGTTTGGCGGTCACAGTTTATTTGAAGAAACTTGGAGTTTCAGACACGTTTTACAATAATTAAAGTTTCGAAAATGGATTTCTTCGATGTATGTTGCAATAACCCTTTCATTAATACCACCAACATCATGGAGGTCTAACCTCCCTCCTCCCCTCAAAACCCATCACTTATAGGTACAATTATATATACATAAGGGTCACTGATTCAATCCTGGGGCACTCCCAGTCCACCCAGCTGTAAATGGATACTTCACTTATTATGTGTTGTTCTCGTATCCTAACGGCAACCTATGTAGGGATGCACCGGAACTTAGTTCTGCCCGGAACCTCGATTTTTATTAAGTTTTGGAATTGTCGACGTGGGGTGACATTAACTTCATTTACTTCTTGATAATGACCAGCAACGGAGAACAATGGTGGAGGGTGAGACGACTCATCCAGCCTCACGTTATGAAGATGAATGTCCTCCACTACCATCTTCCCCAAATGGACCAGCTGGCCAAAAAATTTGTGGAGAGGTAAGAGTTATGGATGACAGCCAGGGGAGAGGCTACACATAATAGGATGGAGACTTGAAATGGAGAAACGAGGTATAATTTGAATAGTTGAAGGAGGGATAGTAAGTTAGGTGTAGGCATGTACAGACGAAATTAGGAGATAAAGTGTAGTCTTTGTAGTTGAAATGGAAGGAAGGGGGCGAGACTAAGGAATGCATCATTAAAATCATTAAAATAAAGGTAGGAAGTTGTGAGTAATGTGTGGATCGTAGGTTAGTTGAAATAGGTGATGTGTAATTCTCTTCAATACACTTAAAAGTATTATTCTCTCTCTTTAGGTTGTCAGGTCTACTGAATGAGAAGCATGAAGCCCCAGCTAATTTTCTTCAAGAGCTCAACAAATGCTTTTTGGAAGGTATGGAAAATCAGGTTAGCGTAACTCTTCTTCTGTTTATAGCTTCCCTAAATATATACCATATTCTACAAATATTTAAACCTCTTTCTCTCTCCTCATTTCATCAGGTACATCGTTGATATCATTTGATAAATGGATAGGATGCATGGAGGAGACGACAGAGGGCAAGGAGCTGATTGATGCATTTCAAACTGTCCTGCAGATTACAGTACATCACCAATTCAATGCCCTTTTGAGGATCTGGGATTGGTTTTCTACCCCAACCTACAAAAGGTTGAAAAAGGCCCATGAAGTAATCCAGCAGTGAGTATTTTTTTTCTCTTTACAGTGTTTGGTGCATCAGAAAAGGGGAGAGACAAGATGGAAGGCTCATAGAGTTATAAATTGTCACACTGTACCTTTTTGTTCATTCCATTTTCTATCATGTAACTTTTTTTCTTTAAGAGAAATTAATCAAAATTAAAATTTCTTTTAAATTCAAAGTTATTAATTTGCTGAGTTGTTTCACAAGAGTGATGGTGATGTTTTTGATAGCAGAGTGGAAGTGGACCTTTGAACCAAAAGTATACAGGAAAAGTAAAGATAACAAAGAAATTTGAGGATTATTTTAGATGTGACTTATTACATGAAGTTTTGAGTTTCAATGACAAACAAAACTTAGTGATTGCAAGTTATTATTCAAACTACTGTAAACTTTAGAGAAAGATAACACTTGCAGGTGGTTATACATTCTGCATAATACTTCAAATGCAGCAACTGTATGTGCTTCTGAGAATTTGCTTACATGCACAGTGTTCATTTGTTTGTTTGTATGTCTATTCATCCATATATAGCAACAGTTTTGAAGCTAGAGCTCAAATTTATCATAGAGACGTGCATGCACCCCAGGAAAGTCCAGTGTGTGAAATTTTGATAGGATGACCAGGAGAGTGGGGAAAGTGTCAGGAGCACTCATACAAACTGTTAACACTCCCTGCTGACCTCCCAGATCAAAGAAAACCCCCACCTTCACCAGTATTTATGGAACATAAAAAAAAAACCCTCCTATCCAACCCAGTTATTTAAAAACCTTACAATAAATTAGAATGTTCATAATATAACCCATACACCATTATTAAACAGGTAAATAACAATAAAAATGCTAAAAATCAGAAACAAAATAGAAGTAACCATACAAGAAACCTAACATGGACTAGTTCAGTCAGACAAATTCACTTAATACCAGTTACTGTAAGTAGTGCTGCATGCATTCTTATACTGTATCTTCACTTATGAGGAATATTTATTGTGTAATCCTATGAGAATCACTACACTGCATCACTTGTCATAGCTCCCCAGAAGTGCTGTTAAGGTGGAATTTTCGGCTCTTGGCTGCAGTGGTTGCCCCTTCATAATAAAGGGAGGAACCCTCTTCACTAAAACACTTGTGTTTCTCAGCGCCTTTATTGCGCATGACCACACTTTTGAAATAAAAAACTGACATTTTTATGCATATTTAAATAACCCCAAGAAAACTCAGGAATGTCTAAATTAAGGGTAAGGGTGACCCCCACCTAAAAGTGGGCCCCTCTGTACACAACTACAGTTTTTGACCAATAAAGATGACAATTGGTAAAGTTATTCTTTGCATAGGTGCGGAATGAAATTATTTGAAACATTGTGTTACTATCAAATAACTTGACTGTTGAAACTTTCAGGCATATTAGGTTAGGTAAGGTTAGATTTTATTCATTGGGATCTCACAAAATATTCAATGAAACATTCATTTCATGAAATAACTGATTACACAGCCTGCTGATACGAACGAGGCTGAACTTAAATTTACAGTAATTTATTTACAGTACTTGACTTATATTTTTACTTTCATTTACTGTATTTTGTCATTATATTTCTTCTTTTTTTCTTAAATTAAGTGATTTTAGATGTATATAAGGACTTAGGCTAAGATATAGTAGGATTTTAAACATTGTTCTTTAAGTATGGTATGCACATAGCATGCGTTCCGACTTACTTACATTTCAGACTTAAGAACATCCTCAGGAACTGAACCCTTTCGTAACCCAGGGACCCCCTGTGTGTGTGTGTGTGTGTGTGTTTGTGTGTGTGTGTGTGTGTGTGTGTACAGGGAGTCCTCGCTTAATGTCGGGGTTACGTTCCTAAAAATGCAAGGTTATGCGAAACAACGTCAAGCGGGTCAATTTTCCCCATAAGAAATAGATAAAATACAGGAGTAACGTTCCTGAGTCTCCCTTTACCCCATGAAATACATTACATATACAGAAAATCATTGCCATTTCTATAAAAAATAGTGCATACATATACAGTACAGTACAGTACAACTACTAAGTTTGTATTGGTACTCACCGATGGGCGGAGGTGGTAGAGCGAGTGTGTGGTGGGTAGTGAAGCAGAGGAGGCGGATGGTGGGAAGGGAGGAATGTGGCGGGAGCAGAGGAGGAGGGTGGGAGCAAAGGAGGGCGGGAGAGGAGGAGGAGGGTGGGGAGGCACTTAGAGTCTGCGCCGAGCCGAGAGAGCGAAGCGGGGTCAGGCGGGAGAGGGTTCACGGTGCTTAACAAGCACGATGAACGGGCGTGGTAGTAGCGATCCCTGGTCACACGCAGAGGCCCAGAGTTCGATTCCCAACTAGTGAGGTATTGCTTGTGTATATATATATATATATGTACAGTATGTATGTATGTATGTGTGTCCTCAGGTTTGCTGAAGAGGCCATAAACAAGACCTTGACAACTATAGAGAGGGAGAACATCAGTAGTAACATGGAGGAGGTGAGTCTGCTGACCAAGTTGCTACTGACTCCTGGCCTCAAGAGGACTGATGTTTATGCCTTCCTCGTGGACTTCACCATTGCTGCTATTGACAATGTGAGTCTCCTGATGGTGCTGTTAACCATTGAACTCTCACAGGTGTTTGTCTGATCGGTGGACGCACACACAAACGAGACAGCTTTGTACCCGTGATATTATCCAATTAGTCATAAAATACTGCACGTTGTCTCTGTACATAGCCTTCTCTAACTCAGAAATAACTAACTGATTAACTCATCAATAAGCTCAGTTCACACAACATAATAAATAGATTGACCCATCAAACTCCACTAATTTGCAACACAATCAACTAACTCCTTATTACACCCAACAAATTATTAAAAATTGTTAATCGATATAATTAAACACACCCAAAAACTCTCAATTAATCTAGCTTTCTATTCAAACATGTCATTTGATACCAATTACAAAAAAAAAAAAAAACATTTAATCACTACCTCCTACTGCTCTCCCTCAGACCTCCAACACAGTCAGCAACACACTCTATTGCTTGGCCACCAACCCAGACATTCAACTGAAAGTCCACCAAGAGCTGGACGAGGTGGTGGGTAAATCCTGTTCCACCCTCACCCAACACCATCTGGCCAGACTCACTTACCTCAAGGCAACCATCAAGGAATCTCTAAGGTAACAAACGAATCAACTGAAGATTAACCCCAAACTTATTCACCTGAAGATTAACCACTCTAATGCTTTCTATGGGGACAGGGGGGGTAGGTTGTGTTAGTATTAGGTTAGATTAGTAAGAAGGTGATTAATCTTAAGGTGAAATATACGAGGAGCTAATCTTCATGTGATCTTAAAGAGCTCTTGGTTGAATTAAGTTAATTTAGGGTAAGAAATAAAATGAGAATTAGGGCAAGTTCCTTCAATACATCCATCAAGAAGTTCAGGTTTTAGATCTAGTGATTATTTAAGGCATCTTATTGGAAACAAAGCCAAGAATTAAGGGGCAATTATCTCAAGCCTTCAAGGTACTTCAGAGGGAAATAATTAGTGATTATGTAGATGGTTTTAATTCACTTGTGGCAATACCGAAACACTTAATTTATATACTGTATATAAATAACAAGGCTATCTTTACAACCCTTGCCGTAAGGAAACACACGACAAGGTGCTGTTTCAAAATATTTGCACAGAGGTTCTGAAGATTCCAGCAACCCCTCAGGATGTGAGGAGACTGGGACAAAAGCAGGGGGCTAAGCCTCGCCCCCTCAGGATCACATTAGGGAGTGAGGAGGAAAAATGGCAAGTTATCCGGCAGGCAAAAAACTTAGCAAGGAGCGAGGCATTTCGAGATGTATTTATTCACCCAGACCGCACGGTAATGCAGAGGGAACAGCACAAGAAGCTCCTGCTGGACTTGAAGCAGAGGAGGGAGGAGTCGAGAAGGAACGGGGACAGGTGCACATGGGTTATACTCAGGGGGAGGGTAGTGGAAACAAGTGTGCCGACACAGGGCCAGGGGGCAGCAGTGCACCCTCCACCCACTCAACCCCCCACCCGGGAGGCGGCACCAGCTCAGCCTACCGGACAGGAGGGAACGAGCGCCGTGTAAACAATGAAATTTTTAACCACACCCTGCAAAATACAGTGTACTTAGCAAATGCTGCAGCTTCTGAGAATGTGGGTGGAGCGGGTTTATTACTAAGAGCAGAGACGTTACCGAGAACAAATTCTGGCTTGAATGTCATGTACACTAATACCGACACGTTCCTGGATAAGAGGGAGGAGTTTGAAACACTACTAAGAGTACACCAACCAGATATTGTAGGAGTTGTAGAACTGTTGTACAAGAACAGGAGAATCGACCCAGAGGAATGTGAGTTCAGTATTGCTGGATATGACTCATTTACGAACCTAACTCAAGAATCCTGCAGGAGGGGTGTGGTTATCTACGCTAGGCAAGACCTTAGAGCCAGCCAGGCGAGGGTACAGGGAGAGGATGTTTTTGAAGAGTCCAAGTGGTGTAAAATTAAATTAAAGGGAGGGGACTTACTTATCGTCGGGTGTATCTACAGATCCCCGAACTGTGGCCCACTAAATCAAAGGAACTTAAGAACCTTAATAAACAATGCGGCGATGCTCAACCCCAGCCACCTCCTTATCATGGGGGACTTTAACTATGGCGACATCGACTGGAGAAACGAGTCAACCCCGAATGACTTGAATAATCCTGCTACTCTTTTTGTAGAAACTCTGAGAGATAATTTTCTGTTCCAACATGTGAGAGACCCGACACATTACAGAGGGGAACAAACACCCAAGCCACTTGACCTCATCATAACAAACGAGGAGGGTATGGTGGCCAAACTGGAACACCTTGCCCCAGTTGGCACCAGTCACCATACAGTGTTGTCATTCAGATTTAACTGTTACCTAGTTCAAGATAAGGCCAGGCCAAGGTGCAAATATTACAAGGGAAATTACAATGGGATGAGGGAAGAGATGAGGGGTATCAACTGGCCTGACTTATTAAGGTACAAGAACGCAGACACTACGCTGAATATCATAACTAGTAAAATGACCCATTTGATCGATAAATATATACCCAAGACCAAACCCAGTGCTTCTAGGAATACGAGGGGATCCCTACACATGAACCATGCGGCGGTCGACAAAATTAAGAAGAAAACCCAGAAATTCAAGACGTGGGTTGGGTCAAACGATGAGCAAGACAGGAGGATGTATGCAAGAGCCAGAAACCAAGCAAAGATAGAGTGTAGGAGGGCTGAAAAGGAGTTCCAAAGGCTGGTTGCACGCGAGGTCAAGTCAAACCCAAAGGCGTTTTACCGCTATGCAAAGTCGAAATTGAAAACGCGAGTAGGAGTATCAGACCTGAGGCTTGAAGATGGTAGTTACGCAGATTCTGACCAGGATAAAGCTGAGGCATTGAACAGCTTCTTTTCCTCAGTGTTCACAAGAGAGGATGCAACTAACCTTCCTGCGTTTGAGGACAGACGGTTCGACACAGCACTGACCCACATTGTGTTCACAGAAGAGGGTATTAGAAATAAACTGTCCAGGCTAAAGGTCCATAAGAGTCCTGGACCTGACATGGTGCATCCTAGAGTGCTAAGGGAGCTGTGCAACGAGCTTGCAGAGCCCCTGAAGATTCTGTTTTGTAAATGCCTGGATGAACAAATGGTCCCCAGTGAATGGAAAGTGGCTTATGTGAGTCCTATCTTCAAGAAGGGCGATAGGCACTCCACGAACAACTATAGACCGGTGAGCCTGACCAGCATAATATGTAAAGTACTTGAGAGTATTATCAGAGATGCAGCGATGGAACATCTACTACGAAACAACCTTGTAAAAGATTGCCAACACGGTTTTATGCCGGGGCGCTCTTGCTTGACACAATTGCTCAAGGTATTGGATATTTGGACCCATATTCTAGAACGGGGTGGTAATATCGACAATATTTACCTAGATTTTGCCAAGGCTTTCGACAGTGTACCCCACGAAAGGCTGAAAATCAAACTGGAAGGGTACGGAATTCGGGGAAATGTCCTAGCGTGGATAGAAGACTTTCTACATGACCGCAAGCAATGTGTGGTGATTAATGGCACGAAATCGTCATCTGTACCTGTAACAAGTGGGGTACCGCAGGGTAGTGTATTGGGCCCGCTGTTGTTTGTTTGTTTCATAAATGATATGCCTGACGTTGTACACTCCTCCATACAAATGTTTGCCGATGACGCCAAGTTATTTCGGGAAATTAAGAACCAAGCGGACTGTGAAGAGCTGCAGAAGGACCTCTGTGGGCTCCAGGAATGGTCGAAGGAATGGCTGCTGAGATTCAATGTCACGAAGTGTAAGAGGATGCACCTGGGGCGTACCAACGGTAAGGAGGCGTACCATATGTCCCAACGGGATGAAGAAAATGTACTAGTTGAGACTGTGTGTGAGAAGGACCTAGGTGTGTATGTTGACAATGAGCTGAAGTTCTCGGGCCATTGTGAGAAGAAGGTAAATCAGGCAAATAAATTATTGGGTCTTATAAGAAGGTCGTTCAGATATCTAGACGGTCCGTCCCTCGTGACGATCTTCAGGAGTGAAGTGCTTCCCCATCTGGAGTACTGTCACCCCATCTGGTCCCCGAGATATGCTAGGGACTGTCAGTTGGTTGAAAATGTTCAAAGGAGGGCCACCAAGCTGGTGCCTGCACTTCGGCATCTCAGCTACCCTGCGAGATTGGAGCGCCTGAACTTGCCTAGCTTATACTACAGACGGGCAAGGGGGGACCTAGTTGAGGTTTATAAGCATCTCAGGGGGCACTACTCAGTTGAGTGTCCTTACTTGGAGCTGGCGGACGCTCGCCCCACAAGGGGTCACAGCTCAAGATTGAAGAAGCCGCAAGTCCGGAAAACCGTGAGGGCAAACTTTTTCGGAGTGAGGGTTGTAAACTCTTGGAACAATCTACCAGAGAGTGTTGTGACGGCACCGAGTGTGAGCTCTTTCAAGAGAAGACTTGACCAACACTGGAGCGGGTTCAGGTACATTCAGGAGCCGGTGCATGCCCAGTATTTGCCAACAGTGCGTGACAGAGACGTGACCGATCGCCCGGGCGGCTAGCGAGACCTTTTGGTGAAGAATATAAAGGAAAAGAGTCGTGACCGATCGCCCAAGCGGCTAACAAGCCCGATCAGTGGCGAAGAGGATAAAAGTAAAAGTAAAAGGTTAGCTAAGGACAACGATCAGCACTTTTCTGTCAGCTTCTCAATACTTTATTCACAGGTAAGATTATTTATAACCACCTATCATATTACAGTACAATTGATATTTTTAGTATATTTGATGTGAGAGAACACAATGTGTGAGAAGGTGACAGGTAATTACTCACTCACAGTACTGTAATTGTTTAAGATTTTAGAAAGTGCGACCACTTTTACATCTGTTACCAAGCTAGCTAAGCACCCATAAAACCATGCCTGATCACTGAAAAACAGGCAGAAAAACAATCAAAACGCTACAGCTGAAGGAATCGTCCATAAAGGGTTAAGATGAAAGTGCCAGTGTATGACTGCCCATTAGAGACAGTGTGGGTTCAGCTTAGTACACTGTATACTACGCCTTCCATATAGTTAAGCACCCACTTACAGCTGGGTGGGCTAGGAATACCACAGGATCCTACCGGTAACAGAAACAAGAAATAAGTTAAATTACATCAACACATTTGTCGAGGAAGATCTAGGTAAGGGACCCGTGATTAAAATAACATAATATATGTACTGTAGGTTGCCGTCAAGGAAACTAAGATAAGGAAGCTATAAAAAGACAATTTTAGGGTAGGAGGTTCTTGACTAGGCAAGTCACCTGTTCTTATTCATGGTACAGTGGCTGATGCACTTTGTGAAATGTGGCAACAGTGTGTTTGTTTACATCACCCTAAAACTCCCAGAATAGCCCTAAAGAACCTCCCAATAGCAGCCAGGATAAGAATACTAGATAAGCATTCCACAGAGTTGCCACATCTCACAAAATGCACCCCCACTGTACCAGGTATAAGTGCAGGAGAGAGACGACTGTGGGTACATAGGCAATAATTAATTTGTTATTTTATTCAGGAGGTAAGTGAATGTATTTCGATACCAGTCTTGGATTATTTTTGTGTTTAAGCTTAAGTAAGACAGTTTGCTGTTTCCTTGTGTCTAAAACTCTGGAACACAGGTATTTTGGTCATCCTATTAATTAACGTCAGAGTAGGATGATAAGTGTAAACTGGTTTCTAAGACTTACCCCAGGAAGGATGAGTAGCAGTCAGCTGTGTATTTAATCTTTAGATCACCTGAAAATTAACCGCAGCTTATTTCAACTCAAGCTTAACCATCGTAACATTAACCTAAAATAAGCCAACATAATCTAATCTAACTTAACCTAACAGAACTTGACCCAATCCAACCTAACCTTTTCCAACTTAACCTGACCTAATCCAACCCGGCACCCAAAAGGTAGCGTTAGGTTATGTAATTTGCAGGTTAAATAAACTGGGGGAGAGGGGGGGGGGATAATTGTGGAGGTGATTCGATTATTATTCTTTTCGTGTGTTTTTCAGATGTATTCCTGTCTCTACATTCCTTTTACGAAGTGCAGTGAAGGACATTGTACTCTCAGGATACTTGGTGCCTGAAGGGGTAAGCAGTGACATCTAAATAAAGAGTAAATAAGATGAGTGGAAACATGAACAAATGGAAAGACAAAGAGACAAATAGACAGAGTGAGAGAGGAAAGAGAGAGCAAGACAGAAAGAGATATTGAAAGAGGAATAAAACAAGAGACAGAGTTGAGTGTAAGGTGAAAGTGACAGAGAGAGAGAGAGAGAGAGAGAGAGAGTAGTGGTCAGTTAGCTTCAGACAGTGGGAGAGGTCATTGGGAGGAGCAGGATAAAACAAAATGTTACCTAGGAAAGGGATGGATCTATTCAACGTCATCTGTATTGTCCTTCCCTCCACCGTTTCACATTCTTCTCCAACTATTACTTTCCCTGTTTTTACTATTTCCTCGGTAAGATCGGGGTTCCTTTAGCTCTTAGGGATTGGCAGACCTGTGTTGGTAACGAGAACAAGATTATCAAGATGAGGAAGCAATTTAGGGTCTTAGCTGCTTAACATCCTCTTACAAGTCTTTCATATTATATCCTAAACTATATTCTTGAACTTTCAACACCTTCATATCCTCTATGATCCGCACCATCTTGCAGTTCAACGTGTCCGTCATCTTGCAGCCTATGGGAATGAATGAGAAATACTTCCCCCAAGCTTCCCAGTTCCAACCTGAGCGGTGGTTGAGGGACCAGGGCAAGAACTATCACAGTTACGCCTCCCTTCCTTTTGGGTTCGGCACCAGGATGTGTATTGGACGAAGGATAGCTGAGCAGGAGATGAACATTTTCCTCTGTAGGGTAAGTTTTATGAAATGGTCTGGAGGATAAGTTCTATATAGGGATCGATCTGTATGGTAAGTTCATGTACTGTTCTGTTGGGTAGGTTCGTGTAGTAACAAACAATTTTGAAATAACTAATTGAAAATAAGGTTTACTCTGAGAAAAATACTAATCATCAACATTTAATTTTTGTTTAAAAGATTAAGTGATAAGTTTCATGCAATTGTTCAACCTCAACTATGATGATGACCGCTGCCTATATCACTATTCTGAAATAAGTCAAAGCTTCAGATGGAACATGGGTAAAGGTGATAAAGGAGGAGGCAAATGCTATTAGCACTTCAGAAAAATGTCTAGATCAAGGAAAATTGCATGAGGACTGGAAGTCAGCTAATACCACCCCAATACTGTATACAAGAACAGAAAACTGAAGCAAAATAACTAAGGCCCATCAGCCTATGTCACATATATGTAAACTCTTTGCGAAAATTCTGAGGGACACAATCATCCAACACCTGACCGAGCACAGTCTTAGTCACAACAAAAGTTGATGTCGTGGAGAGCATAAACTTCTCTGATAAATTTACTCTCTTTCAGTAGTGTGGTAGTGAAGGAAACATGACTAAGTGATAGAGCTTCATTCCTGATGAAAAATCTGCAACAACTGTTCAAAATATCACAGGACTGGAAAAATGCTTTTTAACATTAAAAACTGAAAGTGGGTATCATCAGTATGACAATGTCCACAGTGTCATACAGCACACTGTACGGTACTAAGCCTTCAGTGCACAAGGGGGCAGCATGGCCAGTACTGAACTAGACTGCAGTCACTTCCCCAAGTTGTAAACTTAGGTACTATGCCCATTTACAGTTGGATGAACTGAGAGTGCTCGGGATCAAACCACCGGCCCATGGAGCAGGAGACAAGCACTGTATCCACTCGACCGCCACACTCCTTTTACATATATGTAAAACTGCATGTAGGACACACCAACCCAAATCACAACTATTATTATTATTATTATCATTATTATTATAAGTATTAGTATTTTAAATATCTATCATCTGGTTTACTGCTATGGTCAACCAGATGTTGTTCTGAGGCCCTGAATATATAGAGCCAATGATCTGTCCACACAAGCGACACTTTCCACACAGTTTAACATTTCTTTCTACGACAGTTCTGCTCTTCTCTGTGTTTCAGTTGCTGCAGAAGTACCAGGTGGAGTGGAAGGATGAATCTCTCAACGCCAAGGGGACTCCTGTAAGTTCTTCACATGAGGCGTTAAAATTCACCTTCACAGAGCGTGCTTAAGGGCATTCTCATCTAGCTCAAAATGGGCCGTATGTTAACTACGAAGAGTCGCTCTTCACCGTCAATTATATCTTCATTGAATGCTCCTAAGAATATTCAGTTTTGCCTCTGAAGATGTCTTGATTAAAGATGAAAGTTCAGGTGCTCCAGTGTTTCCCTTTTCTGTGTGGTTTTACTGAGATTTATCTTGTCCACATTTCACAGTAAAAAAGTATCGATTTGTAATTTTACCAAAGAGAAATCGGAATGTCTCACACTTAATAATTCTACATGCGCTCTCTCTCTCTCTCTCTCATTCTGTCAAGGTCAGTATCGTATATGCAATAAGTATGACCTATATTTAAGGAATTACAGCAGTGTTATGGAGAGGATACATCATGAAGGACCAGGTTAATTGTATTATAATTGTTTTCTTTATGACATAAACCTATTGTTGAGTGTAGTATCTGAGTTATTATCTACTAAAAGAGTCAGTATTATTGTTGTGATATTAGACACGAGTGAGTCTCCCTGTATATCACAATTGTTTCTTAATTTGTGATGTTAGTTCTTAACATTATAAGAAATGATATAGGAAAGGGACTTTACACAATGGAACAGAAGAAAACTGGGAGCCTTAAATGGTGATCCATAACGATTTATACTTTACAACTGAGTAATGCCAGTGTGTTGCTGTCTAGGAAACACTCTAGCCTTCATCCTGGTGACACGTCCCCAGCGTCTTCACTAACACTGTTCCTCTAGTTTTATCATTAATTTTAATGGGTGAAAATAATCTTTTTAAATGTCTTGTGTCAAAATAAATTTTTATTAATGGAAATAACATGCTTACAAACCCAGATCGAGAAACACTTGAGTACATATTGTTTCTTTAAACAAATTTTAGTTCACTCATCCTTCCAATTTTTTTTCTCTTCTTGATTTCCACTCTTTATTTTACTTCTTTGCTTTTTATTTTCCTTCCTTCTTCTTTTGGCAATGTTTGAACTGTTCCAGTTGCTATTATTTAGCCATATAATGATGACCCTTAAAACATTAAATTGTATGAGATGGAAATACAGTACAGTGATCCCTCGGTTAACGAACGCCTCGGTTAACGAAATTTCGGTTAACGAACTGCCTTCCATAAGAATCTTCAATTCGGTTAACGAACAAAAATTCGGTTAACGAATTTCTTACGAACCGACCTCAACATGTTTTCGCTTGCATTGGCCGGGCAACCAGCTTTAATATCAGTCCGCCAATACATTAATCGGTTATAGGGCTTAAATTCCTTACTATTTTAGTAAATATCAAGAAGTTTATACTATTCAATAATTTTAAAAGTTTAATATTCAATTTTTTAGTCATTTTAACAATTATTGAACATAATTGAAGGTAAAGTGACTAGTTTAATGGGCGGCATCCAGCCTCTTAACACAGCAAACAGGAGTTAGTCTCTCTCTGTTTTCACTGGAGGTAACATCTTGTTTGAGACTCTCTTCAACTAAATGCTTTTTTTCTGTTTCCAAGCAAATTATTGGTCATTTTGAAATATATTTTACATATTGACAATATATAATGCAGTGCAGTGTTGATTTAAAGAAAATAATCTTGAAATACACCAAGAGAACTAAAATTTTATGGGTGAAATGGTGTCATGGGGTGACTTCTCTTCCACCCCAATGCCTTCTCTTCTTCCTTCTCCTCCACCCCCATCATCATCATCATCATCATCATCATCCAGGAGCCTTCTACATACACACCTCAAAGTAAGTGAACTTTTCTACCATTTTTGTTGAATTTAGGAAATTTTCGGTGAGCTGGAACCAATTACCCAAAAACCCATTGAAACAATGGTTTCGGTTAACGAACAACCTGCTGGAACGGATTGAGTTTGTTAACCGAGGGACCACTGTACAGTAGTGTGCATGTAAGTGTAAATACTATGGCTTACAGACCTTACTGGCAACCTTTATGATAAAAACAGAAATACAGTACAGTATATAACTAATATATATTAAACATTGTAATATACAGTATAGTGTGTAATTCATCAGGCAAAATTAAGACAACTCTGGCAACATACAAAATGAACTTAATCTAAAATAATTAAAAACCTGATATACAGTATTTGCATAAAGCAGATATTGAAAATCAAATATAGCCTATTTACTGTTATTTTACACTTAATTAGTTGTCTACCAGGAACATAGATAACCTCAGTAGCTATTATTCAGAGACCTCATCCTCCACCTAACCTAACTTGTAGAGTAATTGTAGCATTTTATCAGTCATACATCAGTGACAGATCAACTTACCTACTACATATGGATGAGAAAATGACAGGAGCCCTCATTCATGACACTCTTCTTTATGTGTTTCTTATGGCATAATTTGAACTTTAAGCAAGAAAAATAGTAATCTGCATCCAACGTCCGCCTCATATCCTGAAATAAACACATATGCGATTATACTTACAGTAATACTAAAATACCTTAACTGTTACCAATTTCAAATATACAGTAAAGTATTTCTGACAACATGAAATGACCCAACAGAACCTAACCTACATTCAACCAACCTAATGCTCTAAAGTTATGTTTTTATAAGGTTGAGTTTGGTTGACCCTCTTGGTTTTTGTCTCAAATTATTTATGCTTTGAATAACTTTGATATTCCCTAACCTAACTTAATCAACCTAACATAGCCACAAAACTCTGGAACTATACCAAACCTAACCTAAATTCCTAAGATTCTCCGGTTGACCTTAATTAAAATAGGTAAAGGTGTAGAAATTTTTTTTTAACCAATTCAGACCATTCCTTCTGGTGGTCACCCTCTTCTACACCTTTACCAATAAAATAATACCAAAATACTGGTGCCGGGTGGGTCCTCTACATTTACGACTCTAATTTATGGGAAAAGTTACAGACGGACCACTATATCTCACGTAGACAATGGAAACAAACAGCGCTCTTACTTTTCTATTTGTACATTTGAAGAGATAAAATTACACAAGAAACAACTATAAAAGAAGGGGATTACTCGATAGGTGCAGTTCACAACGAAGTAGACCTGCCGCCTGAATAGCTAGTAAGTTAAGTGGTGAAATGATAAATTAAACTGCAATTTAATCGTCACGACTTATGAATCAACTACACAATTATGAACTTACCTTTTACTGTCTTTTGGGAAGAAATGAAACCTTAACTCTCATAAACAACACTGGAGTATGTTTATATCCACCGCCACGCCACCAGCCAACCTCGCCATCTCTCAGACAGTCACTCAACTAATAGGGATTGACCTCTCGTAAGAATAATAGTTCCTTGTGATATTCCTTGGTTATAACTTTTAATTTGTGCGACCATACGTCATAAAACGTGGCCGTGACCAAAAGTCAATTTTGAGTACTGTACTGAATCAGAACGAAAAAAGACAATGTTTAAGCTATGACTCTGGGAGATGGTACGTCTTAAATATTTATGAGTATCCAGCTGCTGAGCAAGTCACCAGCGGGAGAGACAACTAGCACTGGCCACCCCCAAATTATCAGGATTAATGATATTAAATTAATTATTTTAGTTAGTTTTTAACCCTTACCCTATGATAATTTCAGTGATACAGTACTCGAAAGGAACTCGATTGTACTTGAAACTTGATCATACTGTTTAATGGATATATATACTGGTACCTGTTTTGAATAAATTGATGTTAGGTTTTGTCTTGCTTTCTTGCACCCACCCCCCTCCCCCCGGAAAATATCCTGCGGACGCCCATGCTCGTCAACAGTGTGTAACAGTGAGCTAGTACATGCCCACATTGCCAACATTGTCTCACAGAGACGTGAACGACTTCCCAAGCGGCCAACAGGCCGATCAATGTCGAAAAAGATAAAGTAATATAAAATAAAATAAAATAAAATAAATAATTGGTATGTCATACAACCATAATAAAAATCAAAGACGTTCTGCCCTATATAGTTTCATTTTCTTTTATCGCAACAAAGAAAATGGGCGTAAATAGACAGTTTCCTGGAGGAGTTTCTAGGGTCGCGCCCCCTACAGCAGTTGGTCCTCATCTCCACCCTCTTCCTTCCTCCACATAAAATTCGAAATCTAAAAATTCTAAAATAATTTCCTCTTGAATTAGATAGGAAAATTGAGAAATTAGTTTTCCATTCGTTACTGTATGACTTTAATTATTTAAAAGAGTCTGTATAAGGAACTCGTTAATACACAACATATTTAGTGAGAACACATTTAGTGAGATTTTTGACACTGCTTCTGAGCTACCAGATCCTGAATACGTGCCGCGTGCCAGAGAGATCACAGCGTATTTGGTCTTGACAGCAAACCAGTGCAGAAAATGCAGCCTCACAAAGATACGTAGATCCAAACATCGTCGGAATCCTAACAACTTGACGTACAGTTCCCGACATTATTACTACCTTAATTCAGTCACTTTTAGTGGAATTTTACATTTTGATTGACATTTACGACTTTTTGAAGTATCTGTGGGTAGCGAAAATCCAAATAAGGACATACACACACCTGTTAAAGACATTCCTTATTTTTTCTCTGGGTTCGCCCCCGGTAAGAACCGCCGGTGTAGACGATAATGTTGTACATATAGAGTTGCCAGACAAGTGAATTTAAGACATATTCCGTGCAATGAATGCATATGTAACTAATTTAAGCTTGGGATCCTCACCAAGGATATAGTGATAACGGTTGGGCTTAATACTTCAGAACTCTTCATAGTGAAAGCCAAGAACATAACAACTCGGTTGGCGGCCAAATGTCCCAAATTTCAAAACCAATAAACCCCCTTTTTTTTTAATTAACAAAAGTCTACAGTACCTTTCAAGCATATGGACATTTTGAGATTCCTGCCTCAGTGCCTCGTCGCCTTCTATACGTTTTCAACCAGTCCTGGATTCGAACCCGAGGCCTCAGTCATCCTTACCACTGTGCTGAAATGTTTTTATGCCTGCGTCAATACAATATTTATATGACGTGTAAGGGAAATCTTGCTTAGAACTTATACAAATGAAAATTATATTGGAAACTAAACAAATGAAAAATATGTTTGAAACTATACAAATTAAAAGTATATTAGAAACTATACAAACTAAAAGTATATTAGAAACTATACAAATTAAAAATATGTTAGAAACTATACAAATTAAAAATTTATTAGAAACTGCACAAATTAAAAATATATTAGAAACTGTACAAATTAAAAGTATAATAGAAACTATACAAATCAAAATATTAGAAACTACAAATTAAAAGTGCCTGTCTAAAAACTATGCTGTACTGTACAAATTACTAGCGTCTTAGAAACTACTGTATATATAGCCTAAAAACTATATAAATTACATTAAGATAGAAATTATACAAATTACTATCTTGCTATTATTGACCAAACATTACCCGTACAGTAGTCTTGACAGGTACAGGTCCGCCATTTTGCTACTTGTCAACACATTATCCAGAGTCGTCCGCACACTATTTGGATTAGTAATATCTGTAACACCTGTTGAATTAATTAATATACCGGTTGAATAGGTCAGTTTAATTTGTATTACCTGTATATATTGTTACGTGCAGTCAGGTAAAATATATTCTCACGCACTATCACCATCACAATCACTTCACCACCACCATCACCACAATCACTTCACCACCACCATCACCACAATCACTTCACCACCACCATCACCACAATCACTTCACCACCACCACAATCACTTCCCAACCACCATGTACTACCATCACCACCACAATCACTTCCCAACCACCATGTACTACCATCACCACCACAATCACTTCCCAACCACCATGTACTACCATCACCACCACAATCACTTCCCAACCACCATGTACTACCATCACCACCACGATCACTTCCTCATCACCGCCACAATCACTTCCTCGCCACCATCACCACCACCACATAATCCAGATACTAAATGTTATATAATAATTAATTCCTAGGGATAAATACACCGTCACTAACAGCTCATCCGTCAAAATCGTTGTTAGTTAACTTTGAATTTGTCCTGACTAAATAAACTGTTTCAATATCAATTATCTCTTCCTCAGCAGCGGTATCACATGTACTTACCTGCGGGAGACAGTTAGCAGACTTCAGGAGTGACGTGGTCCACCTCAGCAGCGACGAGGTCCACCTCAGCAGCGACGTCAGGTACAGTATAGTGTGAGGCGTGAGCCAGCCGTGTCTTAAGTTTACTGAAGCTTCTGGCACGAGAGCCATCATCCATTCGTAATAAACTTGTAGATCACTAACAAGAGAACAACACCGTATACCAAGACTAATGTATATGTGTTGGTTTGCCTAAATAATGATTCTAACAAACTGGATTCACATATCCATGACTCCTGATTCGAAGCTTCGTTCTTGAAAAGATTCGATTCGAATTATTTGTTATGACTAATAACACACTTCAATGATAATATTTATCATAAAATACCTACAGTAAATACTAACTTACTTAGGTAATGTGAACATTATGTTCCCTTATCAACCCAAATTTGAGTTGATTCCCAGGGATGCCTAAAGTTCAGTTGATCCCTTTGGGGTGCCTAAAGTTCAGCTGATACTCTACGTTTGGGGGCCCTATTCTTGGACCCTGAATACATGTCTAATAAATCAACTTGAGTAATTCTTCAACAGCGATCCGGTACACTGTTAATGACAGTTAGTGCAGGGATGGAGAGGAAGGCAGAAAAACACAAATACAAGATTAAATGAACTTTATTTACAGTTGTAAGGGACACACGGGCCCAGCAGAGGACGGTCAACAGACGCGTCGGCCTAGGACGCTCTAGCCTATACTGAGTTTAGTTAAGACCGAGATAATCTTGGCTTGGACATCTTAAACGAAAGATGTTATTGGCTAAAACTTGTATAAACTCGAAACATCATCACTGGCAAAGATTCGTAAGAACCACAACGTTCCTTTACTAAAACATCTCCGGCTTAAACGACTTAGGTTAAAGCGCCCAGGCCAAAGCATCCCAACGCTCGGAGATAAACAGAAGTTTTAGCTTATTGAGATCTGGTTTGAGGTTGTTGCCACATTGACCATGATGGCAACCCATGAATGTATGTATGTAGATACAAGTTTATGTGCAACACTCGCTCCAAAAAGTATCTTTACGGTTTTGTGCGAGACAGATACAACGTACGAAGGATATTGACAACCCTACCGAGACGGGAATCGCGGTTTTCATTTTGAAATTCATTAGACCTCTCTGTAAAGATACTCTTTCGAGCGAGTGTACTCAAATACAGATCTACTTGTAGTCTGTGAATGTATGTAAGTCATGTGTATATACCAAAAGACATGACTGACTGCATGTGCAAGATTCATTTTATAATTAACATTCATGTATAGTTGACATTATGAATTTATATTGTAACTTGATTATACTCATACAGATTTCCAGCCTTCTCTCTGTGTGTGTGTGTGTGTGTGTGAATGAAGTATATTTAAATTGAAGACATAAAGAAACCAGAGATTTTTTTGCCTTGAACAATTATGTGGAATGATATTAAGGAACAAGAGTATAGCAGGAACGGCCGCTGTACTCCGCCTTAAATAACCATCACAGTTATTATGAAGACTAAACACAATTTCTTAAGGTAATATTTGTGATGGTGGGAGACAAGCTTCAGTAACCCACAGCTGAACAAATTAAAAAAATGACACGATATTTAGAAAACCCTCAAATTATCATGTTAAGTCACGTCATTAGTCAGAGTCAAGATGTTAATTATTCTTTCCTCGTAAATAATGACGCAACAATACAACCAACAGACTGTATCAAGTAAAACACAAAAATAAACACTCAAAAAATTAAATCATGATCTTCCTTACAACTAAAAATATTTATAATATCACTTCAGGATATTTGGAAAGATTCTGTTCGTCTAATTTCCTCCTAAAGTGAACGTATCTATAGGTTAGGTGTCATTTTACGTTGGTTTTTAGTGTGTTAGCATAAATAAGTTAACCAGTCGGGCACATTTTTCAATCTCCAGTGACGATGATAATTCTTCAATGAGTTTTTTTGAAATTAGGTTCCAAAATTCTGTAGGTTCATGGCGGCCACAGCTAAACCAAAGAAAAATAATAGTGTATAGACTGTGAGGCATGGCGCGTGTATGGTGATGATAATAATTAATAATAATATGAGACTTAACGCCGCTATCATACTATAATCAGTTCTTTATATCAGTCGGAAATAATCTGGTTAGGTAGGCTCTGTGTACACGTAAACCATCACTTTTCGGAGCCTAATATTGCCGCCGACAACACACCCGTGACCTCTGTTCTATCCTGTCTATTGTCTTATTGGCAACACTGGTGAGGTAGTTACGATAGTTACAGTCAATAGAATTTAGAATTTGTAAAGCTGAAGAAAATCAGTTACATTGACTGATTAATTTTGATGATATTTTTTGGACTTTACTTTTTTTTTTTTAACTTAACACAAACAGTTCATTCTTTTATCTTCACTAACAAGAGAATATTCATCATATGATAAAGTGGTTACCGTCATGTATAACGAATAATAATAAAAATAATAATAATAATAATAATAATAATACAATAGTTACAAAAATTTTCGCCTTTTTACCGTGACTACAGTCTTCCACATGAGTATTATAAATTGTGAATAAAATAAATATTATTAATTAAGTTTATTTACATGTTATTTATTGCAAAATATATTTACTTTAACCGACTGCTGATTGGCAGTAATCTGTCGGTTGGTAAGCGGCAAGTTGACACCAATAAGAAGTTTATTTGGTCACAAATTAACACAATTGTCACGGTCACGTCTCACGCACGTCGTCACTGATCACTGGACAACAAGGGAATCCTCTGGTGATGACTTTAGACGAGTTTCAAACTCGGAAACACAACAAAGAACCAACAGACGGAGATTATTTTATGTTCTTTACACGAATTTCATTACAACATGAAATTGAGAAAGTGGAATATGTTACACTACTAAACTTAAAAAGACTGAGTCACTGTACACTGTACAGAGTAGCACCCGAGAGTAATGACTATGAACTGCTCTTGCCTCGGTCCCTTGTCTCTCCCACACTTTCACTGTCGAATTCAATTCCCAATGTCTTCTTCCAACAGTTCTCAATTATACTGTCAGGGAGGATAATTTCAGTCGAAATTCACAAGTTCACTGTTTAAAGGTTCATAATTTACTGCTGTGGTTTTCAAGTTAACACTTCAGTTCCCTTTCGGGAACCTAAACTTCCAGTCATATTGGAGGACAAATTCACCTGACCCAAGACGTCTCCCGACCGCAGGGGTCATGACCCTTGAGGCTCGCAAGTCACGCTGGGGCACGACCCAAAGTGGTCAAAACACTTCATTCTTGTTCACGACAGAGGTGGCGACCAAGGCTCATAGATGTTAGGTCAAGGTATTGCCTACACCTCCCCCTCTCATGATGGTGCCTCCAGTCAGCAACCAATACTGTACTGCGGCAGTCCAGGGCCCCACTCAACACAAGTCAACACTCCAGTAACTGGCCCAGTTCACGCCCCAGTTACTGCAGATCACAATAGAACAATGCCGGTCCATACCTCAGTGACTGCAAATTATGCAATCCGTTGACAGCGCCAGCAATTACATGTCGTCTGACACAACCGTCTAACGATTCACCAAAAGCAGGGAACTTCATCTTAGGGGCGGGCAGAGGGAGTGGGCACTTCCTGGAGGTTGTACCAGATAATTGTTAAAGGCGTCACTTACATGTCGTGATTGCCTTTTACATGTCCTGGTGAGCGGCCGTGGTGACCGCCTGGAGGGTGGCGTCGTAGCCGTGGTAGGGGTAGGAGGCAGCGGCAGCGGCAGCCATATTGGGGAAATGATGCAGGAGAGAGGCGGCCTCAGGCTTGAGGTGTTGCGCCAACATGTCTGGCTTCAACATGTTGTGACGCGGCGCCATACTGGAGAGACTGGGGTCGTATCCCATCTTAGTGGGGTCGTAGCCCATCTTGGTAGGGTCGTAAGTCATCTTTGCGACGTACATGGCACGCATGTCATGGCCGGTGGGGTCGAAGTGGTGAGACATGACTGATCCGTCACCGTGAGGACCCAGCAGCAAGTCCCTGAAACACAGGATAAAATGTTAGACTAAATTACAAGAGAATATCGCGAAAATACATACAACATAATTACAGTATAAATTAACCTAAATGCAATGAAAAAGATCAAAATAAAATACCACCTTGTATACAAATTATTACGTCAAACACAAGATCAAACGTCACACAATCACCACAAAACAAGAGACAGTCACTAAAACAAAAGACGCACGAGCTTGGTAAACGAGTCATTAATCAATATGAATATAGATTATCGCCCACAGAAGCAAGATAATATCCCGTAAGAAAATTTAGTCAACAAATCATCAGTTAACATCAAGTAAGAAATTCACATTATTTGTAATTGTTCTTGATTGGTGTAAGATCTAATGTGTATGTCTCATTCTGAGTGCGTGTGTATGACTTTCATTCTGTGTGCGTGTGACTCTCATCCTGTGTACGTGTGTATGACTTCTGTGTACACCTGTATGTGTAACTCACCGTGTGTACACTTGTATGTGCGACTCGCTATGACCGCTACACAGCAGTCATGAACCTTCCCACCCGAAGGCAAAAACAAACACGCATTTACAGTATATAACTAAAAACAATCTAACCATTTTATGATTTTCAACGCGGATATTAACACTTGACTCCCCGACCCTTTATTAGTAAATATTCAAATGATACAAATTCTAATTTCACCCCCCAAAAGGATAAAATTAATCTAATGTTATAAACCTTTAATAGTATCTTTTAAATATTATGTATTTTATGGTGGTGTAAATTACTGTATTGTTTAAGACTTGATCATTTATGATTAACACTGTTTAATAATAATAATAATACACTATAAAACTAACTTACAATAACACCAGTATTTTCTTAACACACATAATGAAGAACACCTCAAACATGTGTAAGTAATAATTACACACATGAGAATAATTGACGGTCTTCGTCAAGCATAAAGCGTGTTAACCATGAAGACAGTGGTGCCATGTTTTCCCCTCTAATGTTGCCGTGGTGTGGCCTCGGCGCCAGCGGATAGCAGGAGTAATAAATGAAAGGTGTGTCGTTTCTCCTACTGGCAGCCTATGGCGGCTTTGTAAACGCACTATAGTACACTCACGATTTATATTTGAAGGGTGTGTAGGAGGGCAAAGCCAGGGTCGCTACGTCACGCCTTGCTCGACAATAACCTCTTCATAAAAATGTTTTAATTAGTTTTGGGTCTAAACTGTATTCATTATAATAACTAAATATATACGATGTATATATCTTGACTATGATGGATCAATAATTATAATGTACTATAAATTACAGAGTACCATCTAAAGACGGATGTGTCAGACGATGTGTGTTTGTATGGGTTAAATAAAGAGATAATGCAAGCCGCAGCCAGGCCAGTGCAGGGGTCAGGAGGCGCGAGCACCGAAGTCAGGTGTCGGGTTAGGTTACCATCCAGGGCAGGCGGTTAACGAAGGACCCGACGTAAATCTATGAGTTTGGCCTCCAATAACTGTTAGCAGTCCCTACGGCCACATAACTAATTTACGTCACACAGGCGCGGTCACGGGAAAGGCCAAGTGAAATAGCTCTTCATTTTTAACCCCAAATGTAAAGGTTTAGTGAGGAGGAATACCGGTGTGACATTTTTTGTTTCTTTATCCCTGGGGCGACGCGTGGAGACTGTGGGTGTATTCCTCCGTGTACTGTTGGAAACCTCACCAAGACACACGGAAAACACTGACCAATAAAAGGTGCACAACGAGATAACATTTACAACAAGATTTTAAGCATAGATAACATAATCCAGTTTAAATAAGAATGTTTACATACACTGAAGACTGACTTGTATGGAAGGTTCAAACAGCAGACCATTTTCCTCCCCAGCCAAATAATGTCAGTAAGGTGTCAATGCTCTGCCGCTTTATTTCAAGCACGCTTTTCAATACATTTTTTACCCCTGTACATATTACTGTCATTAAAAAGAATACCTCATGATCAATACAAAGATATAATCCTTCAAATAATACAATGAAAACATTTAAATTACCCTTACAGATATTCTAGAAGACAAACTATATAAACTACAAAGGCATTACCATAGAATAAGTTAACATTAAGAAAACGTATTTATTGGTATCTTAATTAATCTCTGGTCTCACTAGCTGTAAGCTTATTCAGAAAACGTCGTTAATATCAGTCACTCGGCAAGCAAAGACACGTATTTAAGCTTAATTAGACTCGCTAGACAACTTTATCGTGTCCACACTTAAAACAACAACAATGACTGACAATAAATCTTCTCTCTGATAAAACTTGTCAATTGACTCACTGTTATTGTTTACAAGCGACAATGATCATCAGGATTTTACCTTTTCTTAGAACGTTGTCTGCTGAAGAAACTTAGGTTAGGTATGGTAGGATACGGGGTGGGTTAGGTTTAGTAAATAAGTAAGTTTAGGTTGGAGTTTAGGTTACGTCTGGCTGATTCATATATGTTGTCACCTGAAGATTAAGCCCAGCTTATTTCACCTTAAATTGAATCCCTATAATCCTAACCTAGCCAGACCGACTCTAACCCTATTAACTAACTTGACCAAATCTGCCTCGTGCTTGTGATGGCAGTTCATATTTATCCACAAGCTGAATCGGAATCAAATATGTAGCCATTTAATAATTTTATTTGTTCATTAATTTTCATAAGTTAACACCAAAATTTTGACAGAAAATGTTTCAGAATACAGATTACTCATTAATTAAATATTGACAGGTGACAATATTATACTGTTTATCAAAGGCTTCAGTAATCATGAATTCTATGTCCACTTAACAGGTAATGTAAATAATAATAATAATAATAATAATAATAATAATAATAATAATAATAATAATAATAATAATAATAATAATAATAATAATAAAATAATATTAATAACAATAATAATAATAATAATAATAATAATAATAATAATAATAATAATAATATTTTCCCCAACTAACAACAATAAAAACTCAAAATTAATATATAAAAAAGCAATTAACTTCACAAGACTCAATAATACTGTAAAAAATAAATGCTCATTATTTTTTTCGTCACAACTTTATAGATTGTCATTTCAGTTTTGTTTTTATAAAGAGCTACGGAAAGTTGGCGCTAAAATGCTATTGTGACGTTGCCTGTAGTACCAGCGCGTCAGCTAGTTCTATAGTAGTGGTGAAGGGGCGTTGTATTATTGTATTTAGAGTATGAGAATTATGTTAGTGTTTGTATTATGGGTGTTATGGTGTGTGTGTTTAGAATATGTGGAAATGCCTCATCGCTGTCAGCTCATCTGGAGGGTAAATTGACATCAAGACGCATATCATTCTAACATCTGTAATGGGTCCTTCAGATTCCATATTGTGTAACAGAAATGTGACATACTTGAAATTATTGTCATATAGTAGTGAAGCCTAATACATGTTTATAAGCCTATATATCACGTAGCCATAAATTGTATTCGCTATATCACGAGAGATTTGATTGTTTTTAAATCTCACACACTGCTCACTAATTCCAGCTGTTATATTGACGCTGTTATCAGACTGTGCCCTTAATATTCCCTCCTGGCTCCTATGTAGACAATAGGCCCTCTCCACCACTTCTTTCATTAAGCAAGGAATGTACAAAGATTGAGCCGTATTTTTTTTTTGGATTAATGGATGTGTAGTCTGTTTCCCCGCCATACGCTTTCTCTCCTCCACGTCATGTTCCCTCGCTCCGTGATAACATGTGACCCTCAGAATTGGAAAAATACCAAGATTGGTCCCCAGGTCGCCCCGGAATGACCTGGGTCAGCCCTAAAAAGGCCGGCGACAGCCCCAAACCAGGCCACTTACATGTAAACTGAGTGTAGCGTCGATCAGTCAACCGCCGGCAGGGACAGCCAGTGAGGAAGAACCTGCCTGCCGGGCGCCTTGGTCCGGACCCTGCCTGCTGCCACTACCAGCCACCAACTCTTTCTCATGTTTTTTATTACTCCATCTGTTGTGTTTAGAACCCGCATCATGTCCTTATGCTAGGGCTGGTGTGCCACAGAATGTTGAGGAGAGTATCATTTAGGCGTTTTTATATACGTACTTTCCTTTTTTTATGTCCTTTTCTTCGATTCATTGTTCTTTTCGGACTTTTCTTTTATTGATTTTTGCCCTGTCTTAATATTAATTTTCATATCTAACGAACGCACGGCTTCTGCTGCCTGTGTTTCGTAAGGTGACAACTTTTGTCACTCTCTTGGGGTAAATAATTATGTAACATTTCCTTGAGATTTGTACCGAGGAATGCCCGCTGCAGGAAGGAAATTACAAGGGAGACCACCCCGTGTTTTTTCCTCGTCTAGTGATAAATAAACATTCATACGTGCATAAATTATCATAGCTGACATGCCTAGATTTAATTTCCCCGAACATAAACCATCTGGAAGACTTCTCATTAATTATTCTTTACGTCTGAGGTATAGGCAAGATTCATTAAGTACCAGGGAAAAGTATTAGGGACATAGTATCAGACCCTTATCTCCTGTCCCTCCATATTCCTTCTATCTTTGTCCATCTATCCCTCATCCCTTCTTCTCTCTCCTTCCCTTCATCCCCCCCCCCCCACAGCAGGCAGCAGCGGCTTGCTCACGGACCATCTGACCTGATGTATGGCTACCTTCACCTACCCACCCACCACTGTGTACCCATATCACTACTCTCTGCGAAATGTCCTCGCCATCCTCATCTTTACTTTAATATCTTAATATATTTACTTCTGTGTCTATACTATTTTAATCCTATTTTAATGTCTGCTTTACAATCCTACTATTTTTACCTTACAATCCTAATTTATCTTAATGTTTTCATAATACTAATCCACCCACACAGTCTTACTTTTTGTTTTACATCCTTCTTTCGCTGTCGTCGGTGGTAATGTAAAATTATCGTTACGGTAAACTGTTGCTTGATTTACATGAGAAATATAACCAAAAGTGGGA